TAGACATTGTATAAATATTAATCCAATTAGGTGATCTGAGCCAGTCACTCTCTCTCTCTCAGCCCTAGGAAGAAGACAGTGACAAACCACTGCTAAAATGTTACCAAGAAAATTGCATCGACTTGTCCTGGCAGTAGCTAGAAGTGGCACAAAAAATGGTGGGAGGAGGGGGCACAGAGGGAAAAAGAAAGCCTTGTATCTTGCCTTGAACTTCCCCCATAGATCAGGGGTCCCCAACCTTTGAGGCTTGGTAGCCTGGCTGGAGAGGAGAGAAAGGGGAACTGGGCAGCTTGCGAGTGGACTCAGCCCTTGGGTGAATGGTGGGCTGGCGCACTTGCACAGCTCTTCCACAAGTGGCTGGTACAGCATGCACACGCGCAATTGCCCGCTGGCTCACCACTTGTGCAAAGTGAGCTATGCACGCGCACCGGCCAGCCACTCACACTGTCCAATTTCGAATAGGCCACAGCCCGGTAATAGGCCATGGCCCAGAGGTTGGGAAACTCTGCCATAGATGGTGGAATGTAGGTATAAAAATGAATTTATCCTAATATGTAAAAGAAATCTGGGAATTCTTTTTTATAAAAATGTAATATTGTGAAGAGAGAAACCATAATCATGACAACAAATGGAATAAATATATAAAGTGTAAGGAAATACCCGTAACTCTCAACTTACACCATTTGTTTAACTATCATTCGAAGTTACAATGGTGCTGAAAAAATGGCTGTCACAGTGTCCCCTTGGCTTCATGATTAGAATTTGGTCTCCTAGCAACCAGTGCATATTTTTGATGGTTGCAGAGTCTTGAGGTTATGTGATTGTCATTTATGAGCTTTCTAGGAGACTTCCAACAAGCAAAATCAATGGGGCAGCCAGATTCACTTGATGATTGCATGATTCGTTTAACAACCACCATGATTCCCTTAACAACCATGAAGAAAAAAGTCATAAAATCGATCACAACTTATTTCATGACCATGTTGCTTAGTGATGGAAATTCTGGTCCCAGTTGTGGTTGTAAGTTAAGGACTACCTTTAGAGCTACTTAATGGATAGCACATTTCAAGCCCTTATTTGTAGATCAGCAATTTAAGGAACATGGAACAATATCGACAGATTCAGTCCCAGTATAGTCAGAACAAATGTACAATGCTCTCCCATTGTACATGCCTTATTTTACATTTGAGTCATTGGCATTTCATGTTTATAATGTTGAACATTCTGTAATACTGATCTTAAGGTTGCAAGTTGAGGTATTCTTTCTTTGAATGGTATCTATTCTATATGCATATTTATTTTGGCATCAGTCATGTCTGACTCGAAATAGTTGGATGTTCCTTTCATTTAATCAAATTTATTTCACAATTAGTATCCATACAATTGCAAACCTGATATCATTAAAAAAGAGTCAGAAAAGGTTTTGTTGCAGGGGGACGTGTCACTCATTGTACGGTAGACACTCCTCATTTGCTAGTGTTGCACCTATTAGGAAATAACTCAAACAAAACAAACTAATGCTTTTAAGTAAATGCATGTTTAAAAAATACAGAAACATTTTCCCCATAGGAAATAAATGACATTGTAGGACAGGGATGTCAAACTGCTAGCCCGCGGGCCGGACGCATCACATGGAAGCCGCGCCCACCCCATTGCCGGAAATGGCAAAACTATCCCGATACGTTGCGCAAGTCACGTGACGTCACGAGTTTGACATGTCTGTTGTAGGAGATGACTAGACTGAGCCTGAGGGAGAGGACAAACATGTCATCAGTCATGAATCCCTGTATATCCCCAAGACATCTAAGTCAGGGGTGTCAAACTCGCGACGTCACGTGACGTGTCATGATGTATCACGACTTTTTCCCATTACTGGCACTGGGGTGGGCCAGCAGTTTGACATCTCTGACCTAAGTTCAGCCCATTTTGAATTCTTTCTTAACTCCCACTTATTTCCTTTCACCCTTAGTAGTTCAGATTCTTGTAGACAGCTTAACCTTATAATAAATCTTTGTGGTCATTTGAACTGCCTGAATCTCCTGATTTCCCCCACACTTGAGGGACGTTATTTTTTTTTTAACTTGTTTAGGTTTTCCATACAGATGAGTTTTAATTGAAAATATCTGGGGAAAAACAATTATAATAATCTTGTATGAGTTTGACTGCAAGAAATGGCTTTCTAGCTGGAGCTGATTATCTGAATGAATATAATAGTTAACATTTTAGGAAGAGGTCATCAAAACAAGCAACCACCAGCAAGCAAAATAAGCAAATTTTACACAGTGCAGAAATTATTTTAAACACCTTGTATATTTAGAAATCTATTGATGAAACTGAAAGTTTTCTTCTGGATGCAAAAATGATAGCCAAATAAGTCAAGCCAAAAATATGATGACTGACAGAAGAATTACAGGTCAAAATAACAGAAAGTTGATCAGCAGATAAAATTTATTGTGCTAATGAAAAAAGAAGAATTAGTTGCAAAGCAAATGAAAAGCATAACCCTATAGTATTAATTTACAACAAGCACCAAGTATTTGTTTCCAAAATATCCAAAATATGTCACAATAGCAATATTTTTTTTTTTAAAAAAAATCTTGCTTTACAAAAACAAACATATGTTGTTGATATATTTTGTGGCATGTTCATTTTGTCTCTCAGTACTGGCTTATGCCTCTAAAGATCATCTTGTTCTTTGTTATGGACTATTATGCAAGAATAATTTGTACTTTTGCTTTTTTACCCCATTTTTAAAAAGAAAAAGGAACTAAACACAGCAATTTACTGAAATTGGGGGTCAGATTTCCCACCCCAAAAAATCGGAAGATCTGTTATCTTTTACAAAATAAGGAAAATGTACTTTCTGCCTATCTCCATGCAAATATTTCCACAGTAATGTCTGGGATGAATAATGTTTGCTTTCTCAAATCTTGATCTTTGGTTTCTAGCCAGTGAGAGACAAAGAAAAGTTCAGCAAGAGTTTAATTATAAATGATGTTTGGTTCAAGCAGAAAAAAAAAGGAAAACACTTATTCTGAATATTCCTTGGACCTTGAAAGAACATTTGCTGAGGGAGGGAATGTGTATATATTAGCAAGGCGATTGGTTGATGCTTTATAGTCTTCCCCAGCCAGCTCTGTTGGATCCTGCTGCATTGACTATGAGGCAAATGAACAACATTGGTGTTTCGCTCTGAATTTAGATGAGAGATCTTGTAGTCAAGCTGGACTTGCAGTGGGGACATTCTCTTCCCATCTGTCTGTTTCAGTGGAAAAGAGAGTGTTGGCTTCCTTTGACCTTGGTGGTATCATCACATTGACTCCATGGCTGGAGTTACTTGGGATGAAAGAAGGTTACCCCTCTCTCACAAATAATAATACTCGGCAACAGCAGAGAGGGGTTAATGAAACATGTAAATCCATATAATCAGCAAAAGATAATGTGCTGTTTAAATACGAAGGGGTCCTGCTCTAAAACAACTTGAATTGGTTTAGATATCCAGTTAAATTGTTATATTCCTTCATCAGGTAAGAAACTTTTAAATCTTGAATCTAGTTCAGCAGAGTTCCTATTATGAAGTTGATTAGCAAGTATTTCGTTCTGTGGAAGATAAGTCCTTTTTCTGTTCAGATAATCTGACTATTTTGCAGTTCTTTTTAATCATATTTATGCATGCTCATCTCTTTTCTTTAACAATTGTTTTTCAGTTGAATATATTTGTGTGTGCTTTTTAAAGAAAAACAAAGCTTAGGCATATTGCCAGGATTTTATTTTATTTTGCTGCAATAAAATACAAGCTTTTTGTTTTTGTTTTTTTTAACAGGATTTTTTTTTGGTCTGTGTTTTGTATGATGGATTTGGGTGTTCTTGAAACATAACCCAATCCCCCCCTCCATTTTTATTTTGGTTAAATGTGCAATGGGACAATCCTGGCAAACATTATCCTGTCATGCAGTATTCTCATATCCCTCAGTTCATGTGTAGTTCTAATGAATATATAATTTTCATTTTATGACATGGTTTTAACTATAAACTCTGGGGATATAAATTCCAGTTCTGAATGAAAATGGGGGGGGGGCGAGGACTCTTATGAGCAGCATTTCCCAACCTGATGCCCTACAGATGCATTGAATTTAAATTCCCATAATTTTTTGACTGCACATTCTGGAAAATATGAGAGTTTATACAATAGAGAATTTAAGTTTGGGAAAAGGAATAGAACGATAATGGAAGATGTGGGACAATTGCTCACTTTATTCTTCTTGTTGTGAAGTGAGGCTATTTCTAGGCAAATCTGAGAGTTTTTGTACACTGAATTTATTGAGCCACCATATTCCTAACACAAAGAGGTAATAATACTTTTAAAAACCAAGAACTCATCTCAGGTACAATGTAAAAATTCTGCCTAGTCAGCTTCTTTCATTGATCATTGAAATATCCCAATGAAATAGATAAAACTAGGATAAGGTGGCCAGGGCACAACCTGGATATTTCATTTTAACTCAGTAGACCTTTATGTGATGCCATCACATAAGGGCATGAAAACCACCACTTAGTTGTTTCTGTTTTCCTACCTCTGGAGCAGTTAGGAAATCCCATGGAATGCCCAGGATAAGAGGAAAAAACAAAAAAGACAAAGCAGCAGTGCCTGCTAGATCATGTTTTTTCAAAAGACATCCCCAGTCTGAAGTATTGGACTATACAGGTTCTTCTGCAGACTTGCAGGAATTGGCAATAATTGTCTTCTAAAACTGTGGTGTTTTTTAGTCCTCCTTGTGTAGGACTTAGCATGAAAAGCTCTTCCAGTCCATAATACTGGGTAACCTCTCTGTAAAGATAAATACAACCTGCTTCATAAGACAAAAATGTTTTTGCTGAATTTTCCTTAAGAAAGAAAAAAACAACTTGAAAACAATTTGAAAATGAGCTTAGCTTTGAATGTTCCCAACAGGATATCTAACCCAGCCATGTTTTTACAGTGTTTTTTCCCCCCTTTACAGCCTACCCGGACATCCTCAGAGAGTATTTATTCTAGACCTGGATCCAGTATTCCTGGCTCACCAGGACATACAATCTATGTATGTATGCTTTCATAAAATATTTTATTAATTAGATTATGATATAGTGTTATGTTTTTAGAAATGTACTTATTTAGATGTATTGTCATTTATGAAGAAGAACAAAACAGTTCATTAACTGGGAAATCAGAATTATTTGCTCATGTTAATTCATTTTTATCAATTAGATTAAAATAAATTCTGGCAGAATGACATGTCTTATTAAAAAAGACTCCTTTGTAAATTTTTGATTTGTTTTTGGGGCATTGTCAGTAATACAGGTGGAACTCGACTTAACAACTGGTCACTTAGAGACCACTCAGAGTTATGACCAACTTTCCCAAAGTACTTACGACTCAGTTCCGAGGTTCTGACAGCCACTGCCCCTTCTGTGTTCACATGAATTTTGAGTGCTTGGCAACCAGCCTACCAGGATTTATAGCTTTTTTGCTGAAAACCAGCATTTACTTCTGGTTTTTGGCAAAAATGTGCTATAATGAACAAAGGGTTCTCTTAACAACTGCAGATTTCCCTTATGACTGCATTTATTCACTTAACAACTGTCCAAAAAAGTTGTAAAATTGGGTTGGTCACATGCTGTATGGCCATCACAACTTATGGACAGACTTCATTATGATTGTAAGTTGAGGGCTATCTATATCGCAAAGCTGTAATTTAAAGACATCATTCTATCCACTAATGAGTAGTTGACAAACAAATCTTGGAAATGTGAAGATTTTTTTTTTATCTGAATGTGATATTCTGTGAAGTTGGCAGTATAGAAATTGCTGTGGGCCATCAACCACCAATTTCAAGCTACAAAGTATACTTTGAAGGGAAATCATCATGTTCAGAAATTGCCACTTTTCTACCTTCTGGTTGCTGGTCTTTTTTTTTTTTTTACACTTTGATGAATTGATGATGATCCAATCCAGTCTTAATGTAATAAAAAGGGGGCATTTGATTGAAAATGAATTTGGAGAGTGGAGAAGAAAAATAGGTGTTTTTTGTGGTTTAACAAGCATTTGTTTTTCTTATAAGCAAAATCATTTAGAAGTGGATGTTATTCAAGTGAATCTACAGATTTGTGTTTATCCATTTTCTTTGATTTTTAGGCAAAAGTAGACAATGAGATCCTTGATTACAAGGATTTAGCAGCTATTCCCAAAGTCAAGGCCATCTATGACATTGAGCGCCCAGATCTAATTACTTACGAACCTTTCTACACTTCTGCCTACGAAGAGAGACAAGAAAGGCAGAGCCTTGGAGAGGTAATGAATTGGAAGTTCAATTTGGAAACCAATTCACTTCTTATATGTAGTTTAGCTTCTGTTCTTTCTATAAACAGCTGATGCAATAGTCAAAATGCTTCATATTTCTCAACTTCTTGCTTCTTTATAGCTTTGTAAAAAAATGTGAGCATTGGATTCTGCTGCTTTACTTTCCTTTTTCATCAATAACTATGTGCGCAGGGATGCCTATCCCACAGAGCTCTTCCCTGTCACCTTTATGCACACGCTTGACTGGTGGTAGCCAGGAACTTCTGATTGTGAAGCACCTAGATGGGCATAAAATATTCAGGATTTACTTTCCCTAGAAGTGGTGTAGATTCTTAAAGAAATACTGCTACGTGGGTAGAGCATCTGTGTGAGACATGAGCAGTAAAATGCTGTCCAAGTACAAGAAAACATTATTGGAATTGTAAGAATGACGCTGGAGTACATGTTTCAAAAAATCATTATTATTTTAGGTACATGAGTTCTCTGTGTTTGTTCAGAAACCTTTTTTAAATTAAACTAGCTATATCAATTGAAATGGAATAGCATTCATCCAGAGATAAGGATGTCCCCTTCTGGACCTTTGTAGGACATTGAAGACACTGATATTCCTCCTTGCGCCAAGAAATGAACCAGATCTGTTGGCAAATTACTTTGTTTCAGTCTGTGTGAATTGATTATGGAATATTTGGACCCAGACAAAAACTATGTTTATGTATTATTATTAATGTGGGCTTTTCTTTATGTTAGGCTTATACATACATGAACAACAGAGAAAAGAAGAACTTTAGTAGTCATATAATTATCCTAAACATTTTGATCATATGATGTGTTTTCTTGGAAAGATTGTACCTCAGGTTTACTACACAGAAATGTTTTCACAGAGTGCCACCTAGTGGAAGCCAAGAAACACATAGATTTTATTTTGTTAGTGAACCTAAAACTCATTTAAGAATAAACAATTCTTAACAATTCTTAATGAAAAAATGTAATTATCTACCACTTTTGTGGTATAGCTCTGATCCATTTTGTCTTTGTTCACATTTACTCCTCAGGCTGCATTTTTTTTCAAGGGCCTCTAATTTATGCTCTATCTTTATTACTGATTTTGATTTTGATTTTAATTTGTTGCTCATTTCATCCATTTCAAATATTTTTCTCACCTTGATTTTGTATCAGTCAGTCGTATTTTTGAATAAGCTTACTGTTGTTATGTAATGTAATTTTACTGCAAAATCATATGCAGTAAAAAAAAGTGCAGACGTTATTAGTAGAATATATGTTATTTCAATATGTGTTGGCAGAGTAGATATCAACCCAAACATACATACATACATACATACATACATATATATAAAAGCAGTTAATTTTTATACAGTGATTATAATAGGAATGATTAAAATGGAACCAAGAAGGTTTTAGGTGCATATTTATGTTTTCTTGGGATCTTGAACCAATAGCCTTTTCCTTTCTGGTGTTGACTTTCTTTCAGTGCTTTCCATTGTAAAGTCTGCAATCCCAATTGTAAATCCAACCCTGGCTTGGATTTTGGAAAATTTGACTTAAATGAATCAAATAATACAAAATAACCTAGTTTTTACTAGATTTCTTTATCTCTTCTGTTGTTGAAAGACTAACATTTATTCTAATTCTGCTTCTTTTGCTTTCATTGTGCATAATATTATCGAATAAGTGAAGTTTTGATAAGTACTGAATGTGTAAAAATAATATCTTACATAGTCCTATAATATAATTTAGGAACATGTCATTAGATAGCCAAATGAATCATACTATGTTCCATTAGTTGGCTCATATATTATTGTTTCTTTCTTCTACTGTGTTAAGTCAGAGTAGGAAGAAAAATGCAATGGCTATGAAAGTGGATTAGATTGATCCCCAGCAGATAAGACCATAAGTCCTATTACTCATGATAACTGAATATTTTCTCCCATATGGTGGGTGCTATGAGAACAAGAAGAATGGTCTTGGTTGTGGGATTGTATAGACATCTGGTTGGCCTCTGTAAAAACAGTGTCCTGGACTGAGATAGCCTTTCATCTGAGTCAACATACCCTTCATAATGTATATAATACAATTCCTGCTGGCTCAGAAATTCTGGGAGCTGAAGTCCACAAGTCATAAAGAGCCATAGTTTCCCACCTCTCATTTAATACAATTGCATTACTCAGTTCTTCTCAGGAATATATCCGTGGGCTCTTCAGATAGTTGGACACTAGTCACGTTTTCTGCTTCTAGATGCAGAGAACTAAGGGCCAAACTCAATTGTGAATCTTCCTGCTGAAATGATAAAATGTCCTTTACAAGTCGGATGTTCCGTTATGAAACGGGGCTACCAGTTATGAAAACCCTAATAGTTTACATATTAAGTATTAATTCAGTAAAGGGGGAAATAATTAAAACCTGACCATGAAATATTCAGAAGATGTTAGATCCCTGATACTAGATGTCAAATATTAACAACATATTTTATTGTTCATTTTTATTATATTCTGGCTTGATTTATTCTTGTAGCCTAATGGATTTTATATATAGTCTATATAGTATGTAGTAAGGAGATTCAGCACTTTATTGTTTTCTGTTAAAATAAATTTAAAATGAAGCAGCTATAACCCCATTTTTCCCCCCTCAGAGTTCAAGATACGGCAGTTCTCCTGTGCATGATGAAAGTGTAAGTTGAAAAAAGACTAATGGACGATGATATAAAACAAATTGGCATTAGACAGTTTGTCTCTAGTTTGATTGTTTTATTTATACATGTTATCTATAAATGCACTGAAGAGTGGTTGTTAGATAAAATAGTAATATCTTTAAATCATAAGATATTAATTTATAACAAGCTGCCCAGAGTCCCCTTAACAAAGCAGATGAGCAGCATAAAAATGTAATAAATAAACAAGCAAACAACGTGTAGACTATATTCATTCAGCATGGTAGGTGACAAGGTGTACAGATTTCGTATACAGTTCTGCACACACAAAAGATGAAGATAAAGTTCAAATATGTTATTTTACAAGCAAGAGTTTATGCAACTTCTTATAAAACAAAGCTGCTAGCGATTCCATCTCTCAGGTTCTTGTGAACTGTTGTGAAAGTTCCTCTAGATTAGAATCATTTGGTTAAACAGCATTTCTTGCCATTTGCCTTCCACAGTTTTTTAAGAACCATTCTGAAAAACTGCAGTGTGGATTGAGCTTCAGCAAAGATATGCAGTTAAACAGATATGCCAAACTTCATCACAAACTGAGGTTCTCCAGTGCATGTCTAAGAACTCATAAACCATAGGTGCATAAAATTTGACTTAAATGCTATTTTTAAATAACTTTGGGCTATGGAAATCATAGAAAGGTATTGCTAACTGTCTCTTTGCTTTCTGTACATCAGAAAACGAAGATGGTAAAGCTAAACAAATCTCATTTTGGTCTGAAATAGTCATTTTATTTGAGATCAGCAAGTAAATTTTGTAAACAGTGAAGACATTTTTGCCCAAGAAATGTCAAAACAATTATTCCTCTTTCTTTTTAAATTATACTGTCAAGATGAAGTCTGACCATAGTTTACAACTTTACAGAGAAATTCTTTTTAAGTATGGCTTCAGTATCACATGTATTTGGTAAATTCCTAATAAAATTTCAAAGTCACTGAAAGATGAAAGCCAATGAGTTACCGTTACATTTATTTTTAGTTCGTAGAACTACAGTAGTTACATTACTAATGTTTATGATAATCAAGTTTCCAGTAAATGAAATCATTACTACAGTCATTTATTAATTTTGATTATATTAAGCACAAATTAACATTCCTGTAGCCCTAAACTCAAGCAGTTTCTTATATCCATAAATCTGACTATCAGAATTCTGTTGGAAATCTCTTAATTAAATTGGATGAAACAATCTTTCTCATGAAATTATCAATTATCTTTCAATATTTATGAGAGATTTGAGTAAAATGTCTTACCTGTAATCTCCTTTCTGCTTTGTCTTTCAGTCACCAAGGACACTCTCTCCAACTCCGTCTGCAGAGGTAAGTTTGATGAATATGTGCTGTATATGACCAATCAAACTTTCTTGTTAAGTTGACTACTGTATGATGGTGAGATAACAGTTTTTGTAAAAGAGAAGTAGTAGACGAAGCCCCTCTCTCAATACTATTTGTGATTGTCCTGTTAACAGTCCTTCCATCACAAAGAATGCTTCCTTATAATATCTAGCTTGGTATTTATGATCTGGTATGATACAAGTAGAGAAGCATTTTTGGAATAACATACTGTACCTGCTAAGCATGAGTGGAAGGTACAGCATGAGTAGGAGTTTTATCAGATCATCTGCTATAATACATACAATATTTTCTTCAGGGTTATCAGGATTTTCGAGATCGAATGATACACCGGTCAACCAGTCAGGGTTCCATTGGTTCCCCTGTATACAGTCGTCATAGCTACACTCCCACCATGTCACGTTCGCCACAGCATTTCCACAGACCTGGTAAGGATAATGCAATCATAGAACCAAATTTAAGAAACTATAATTATTTATCTTTTGGAATTACTAGGAAAGGGATCTACGTCTTTCAGTTGCAAAGCTATTTATTCATTATAAATCTGTGTTTCCTTTTCCTTCTCACTCTTGGTTAAGTGGATCTTTAGTTATTGTAGGAGAATAGGAATATTAGCTAATTAGAAATTAAATAGTTTCCTAAAATGGATTATATTATTTGGGTCAATAATTAATGAAGAGGACATAGGAAATTAAATTTCTCTAGTTTTTTTCACCAACAGCAAATAATTATGAATTTTAGGTTATGGGCATTTTTAATAAAGTCAGAGTTTCTGATTTTTTTGAATATTCCTTAACATAACTTCTCATTGTTTGATGATGAAAATGTAAAACCATTCCATTTTTTAAAAGTCTTTATTAAACTCTAGAGGAAGGAAGTTACAGTATGGTATTTTTTAAAAAAAGAGGAAAGAAATATTTTTTTAAAAAAAAGTTGTCAGGGGAAGCAGTTTCACAGCTGAAATGCCAGATATGCATACAGAAGTAAAGCAATCCATGAGTCAAACTCAGTTTCTGGTGATCTTGGTAATGTTATGAAAGTTGCCTATCTTTGCCTTTTTCTGTGATATTTTTTTCAACTACCCAATTTAGTAAACAAGACTACTTAAACAATCCCGCATCGAAGTATTATTAGAGTCAATTTCGTTTAGATTTCACAACCTGCCAAAGTCATATAGCTACTGCCACCGTGATTCAACTAGTTCTCTTCTGTTACACCTGGGCTTTTCTTTTAGAAATATTCTGCATCAATATTAATTTTGCAATTTGTTAATATACAGTATGTTAATATTAAATAGCCATTTGAAATTTTACTTTATCTTTAAAACTAACATAACAATATAAAGTTAATACTTTTTGAGAGATTTTAAAATTGTGATGATATTATAGGAAGTCAATTGGCACCATGAACAATTTTATACCCTCAGATTTTATTATTTTTCCAGATCTTATCTTTGGTGAAGAAAAGTAAATTCAGTAGAAACAAAGCTTGTCTTTAAGAATGCCCACCTACCTAAAATATCTATATTCATGCTTTTGTAAGCCTCTGAACTCTACAGTTTCATACTTATTTATTTCCTGAAAGTTTTCTTCTGGTAAACCAAGTAAAAAGTTATAGTGATTAGAACTTATATTCTATTTTTTAATATGATTCTTCTCTAGTGATTATATTATATTAACATTTTCATTAGAAGAACATTTTGTTATTTGTTTGATATATATGGCCACATATTTGCCAAGCAACTATAGCTTTTCTTCTATTAGCACAACCTATAACAAACAACCTAAGCTTTCATTTGTAATTGTTTGGTCTAATTCTTCCTCAGATAATTGTTCCTTGGAAAATAAGTTAAAAATGAGAGTTGCATGAATGCCAATTCTGCCTTGTTTGTTTGTATATAAGGAAATATGGATTTAAGTTGAAGCGAAGGTATATTCAATGTAAATCTGATTTTTCCACATTTCTTCCTATGAATTTTTCCTGCAGTAAGAAACCTCTTTCATTTCCTTTGTGTAGTCTTCAGATTCCTACTTATGAGAGCTTGTCCCTCTGTTTCCCTCAGCCTCTAGCCACTTTTCCTGCTTCTGTCTTATTTGGTCTTCTCTTTTCTTTGTTTCTGCTTTGTCCTGCTTCATGAATCCTTGCTGCCGCAGAGCTGTTGTCTAACGGTGTGCAGCGGTTAGCCCTCCTACGCACTAATAACCCAATCTCTACACACAATGATTCCCGCCCCTACTCCCCTTTCCGACACCACTTCATTCCCTATGTCAAAGGTAAGAAGACAGGCCATTCAAGCTAGTGTCCAAATGACTGGAGATTTATTAGCATTCTAGGGAAGCTAATAAACCACATCTCCATAAGATGGCTGTCCACTCCGTGGTCCTAGCATGCTCAGATTTTTGTCATAAAGATTATGCTAGACCTGGCATATCTTCTTTTCTTTGAGAAAGTATGTCCTTTCTAAGGGTCCTCCATAGATGAAGTGGTAAAGATTTCTTAAGAAAATGTGACTGCTTGAGAACTGAGATATTTATCATTTTTTTGAGATTAATTTGGAAACTATTGTAGAAAATTCATCTCTGTTTTCAAACACACTGATATGATCCACATTTTCCTAATCTTAAAGTCCCAGACCACATACTAGTTATGCATGAATTTAATGGGTATCTTGCATATATACCAGCTTCCAATATAGATATGTATGCATATATGTAAGAACAGTTTCCTGTTAAGAATCCAAAAATGTTATTTCAAATTTTTGGGATGAATGCTATGTTTAAATGTGTCCTTTCATCCCATACACTTGCCATATCAATAATGGAGCATGCTTATATTGCAAATTTTAATCTCTAATGTAGAAAGATGCTTCACATTTTGTCCACAACAATTGTCAATGATTCTCTAGCATTTCAGAAAAGAGGGGATTTTTTTAGCTGTACTTGCAAGTTTCACAAGGAAATCTGTGAACTTGTTTATGGAAAATATGTATTCTAACACAAAACCATGGCCTTTCATACAGTGATGTGTAGGTCAATTGATACAACATTTCATAATCTAAGACTGATATATTTTAACTTAACACCTACATTTTGAGAATTCTCTGATTCTTTTCCAATTGTTTGCTTCATCCACCACTTTGAGCTTCCTTAACCTAGTTTTCCTTAATAACTATTACATCACCTAGTCCCTGTATTCAGCATTACTTTCTCAGGAATGGTTAAACAGTAGAATTGGCTTAATTAATAAAAGTGAAACAAGTTTTAAATGCAGGCCTAATCATGCATGCTTAACCTTCCAAAAGCAAATGAAGCAATAAATATGTCAGTATACATAGATCTCAATCTCCTAATTATGCTAATATAAAATACAATTGCAACCTTATTCTCACTTTGTTTCACTCATGAGGTCCCTTAAAAACAGAGGCACAGCTCATATTTGCATGCACTTGATGCATAAATTCTACTTTTACATTTCCATGTTTATTTCATGCTTTTTAAGGCATTCTTCTGTCATGGCAAAGCTTCAAGATCAACTCATAGTTACCATTTTCTGAAAAGTAAATCTATCTGAAAGACTGAATTTGTCATTTGGGTTGATATTTCAAATTCAGGGTATGGGGAGGAAAATATATGCATCCAAGTGAATTAAGTGGAATTAAATTGGGAGTCTTTCATCAGTGAAAGATCTCCATTAGTGGAACATACCTTCTAAAACTACTCAAGTATTTTGGAAGATTACTCCCTTCCCAATTCACTGATGTAAAAAATCTGCTGGAAATTATTGACTGTATTATGTACAAGGGCAATTCGGACATTAGCAGATACAGAACTTTTATTATACACATTAGAAAAATACAGCATTACATTACTCTTTGACATAATCACTATTCAAATTGAGGCACTTCTCATAACGTTTTACAAGGTTTGAAATTCCTTAGTAGTAGTCGCTCGGCACCAAATCTGGGCTATTGGGGGGGGGTTGATCAAAAACATCCCAACAGAACTGCTTCAAAAATTATTGGGTGCATCTAGCGGTGTGCAGGCGAGCATAATCGTGAACCAACACATACTGGAAGTCAGCATGCCTCAAAACTTGTTATGGATGGCTCATCTGAGTTTTCGTAACGTTTCACAGTAGACTTCTGAATTGATGGTTGAACCACGCTCCATGAACTTCACTCGCAGTATTCCTTTGGCATCTTCACATTTGGCTGGATTTTCTATGGCACCACTTCCAGTGTGGTGTTAGTTCATGTTAATGCTTGCCTGCACACCTCTAGATGCACCCAAGAACTTTTGAAACAGTTCTGTTGGAATATTTTTGATCACCCCCTCCCCCATAGCCCAGATTTGACGCCGAGTGACTACTAAGGAATTTCAAAGAGACAAGTGCCTCAATTTGAATGGCGATTATGTCGAAAAGTAATGCAATGTTGTAGTTTTCTAATGTATATAATAAAAGTTCTGCGAGTGTCTGTCATTGATAACCAAATGGAGGTTTATTTCCGAATTGCCCTCGTATGTCATAGTTACTTCAAAGAATTGTGAGAATGTGTGTGAACATTAGTGACTGTTACTTTCTTTTCATTTCTCTGTCCATACTTACTGGCAGCTTCAACTTGGGCTGCTTGGAAGTTTGCTTCTGCGCATTGTTAATAGTAATGGTTAGGAACCTAGCATTAATTTTGCAATTATGCTAAATAGTTTTCTAATAGTTATATAGCATATCCCAAAATATAAGGAGTTTTTCCTTCTAGGAATTCTTTTCAACCAGCTCAACCAGTTTTAAATTAGGAACACTTACCGCTGAATTGGTCCCAAAAAAACCTAGGATCAGAGATTCTAATACTAAACAGCAGTGGATCTATGAGATTCTCTAAGTCTAAGAAATAGATGTCTCCAAATGATTTCCCTGCAGGTCATGATGTTATAACAGAAAATATTGTTACTACTTAATTACCAAACACTTAATGATACTTTGTTTCTCTTGTTTTAGAAGTTCTGCTTTGGACCTTCTGTTTTCATTTATTGCTTTTCGTGTTAGCTTATCTCTTCATTTGCATCTTACTCTACATATTTTAAATTGAAGTACAATATTCCAAAACATGCAGTGCGCTGTTCTAATTAAGGAAATAATTGTGTGCTTCCTGGACAGATCATCATAATAGTGGTGATGTATATTAGAATCTATTCTTGAATCAATATACTGTCATTTACATAGTGAACTTGAAACCAAGATTATTTTAGCATAGCTGCAGGACATATCACAGGTGTAATATTTAGATTATGTAGTTTTTCTAAGTGTATTTAAAGAATGAGAAATATTAGTCCCCTACCCCATCAAACTCAACCTTTTGTAGAAGAATATTATCTTGAAGGAAACCAAATGTATCAAATAAGTCCAAGCTTCATGATTTCTAACCTTAGGAAATTCATATGCACTTGAGATGCCTGCACCATCCTGGAGGGTTTTGTTTTTAGTGCTGGAGACAAGAATGCAGTAAAGATGTAGGTGGGAGGAGCTTGGCAGGCACGTCAAGAGAATTATTTAATGCAATTGTGATTCTCACAAGCCATGCTGCAGAGTCAAGTCAAAGCAAGTGCTAGCTGGTGGTCATCAAGAACTGGAACAACTTCTTTTTCCCTAGGTAAATATAAGAGCAAAAGAAACTAATTCTGAAATATTTGCTAAACATGAAGAACTGAAAGAGTTTGTGGCTTCCATGTTAGCAACTTGTGCATTACACCCAAAAGACCTTACAATACACAATTGAACTGATCTTAATTTTATTTTTTAATACAAATACTTATATTCTACCATTCAATGCTTGACAGCATTAAAAGCAACATACCACCAGTGGAAATAAATGGTTAGTCAAGTTTTTGTCTATTAACTTGAACATTACAAATTAAAATTATACTTATCATTTATCCACAGCTCAATTTTTAAGCTAGTTGGTAATGAGAAGGTATTAGGAAAATCCAAAGAGGTACTCCAGCTGCCATTTTATTTCTGTTGTTTATTTCTGTTGTTTAACATTGTTAGTCACCTAGAGTTATTAACTTGAGATGGGCAGCCACATAAAGTGAATGAATAAACAAACAAACAAATCAAATATTAGATTTTTTTACATGCAGATTTTTTTAAAAAATCACACAAGCAAGTGAACAGAGACAAAATACTCCATGAGTATATTCTATGAATATGGATCAACGGTGGAGTTCCCCAGGCATATGGGGGGGGGACTTCAACTTGCCTTCTCTGGGGTTTGAAGTAATACAAGAGTTCTTGATGACTACGATAATCATGGACCTGGTCCAACTTGTTGATGGTTCTATTCATGCAGGGAATTACACATTAGATTTGGTGTTTGCCTCAGGGCAGTGGCATTGTGATCTGGATTTGGGAGACATTAAAATCATTCCCTTGCCACGTACAGATCACTCTAATCCTAGAATTCTCCATAGCTGCCCTACCACCACAGGGGAATGGAGCCTATTCAGTTGGCTCACCCCAGTGCCTGATGGACCCAGTATGAGCTTGGGATTTTTCAAGAAATTCTGACACATGTCTTGGCAGAGGCCTGGTTGCAGCTTGGAATGAGCAGGTAACAAGACCGTGGATTTAATTGCAGCTATGTGGATGCCTGTGTATGTGAATTTGATATGACATCATAGTTTACTGAGTAGCTCCAAAAAATAAAGCAACATAAGAGATGCCTAGAGGGCTGCTGGAGGAAGACAGAATGAGGCCAAGCACAGGTGAGATCCTGTATTAGGACTTACCTTGTGGCAATAAGGTTAGCAAAGTATATCTTCATCCTTATTGCATCTGCAGATAACTGCTGAGCAGTTCTGTTTCAGGTGACCAAGTCCTCCTGGGTAAGGAAGAGCTGTGGGAGTCTTTACAGTGCTGCTGTGAAAAATATTCTTGGCATCTATCAGACAAAGTTGCTCATCTTCACTGTGAGTTGAATTTTGGTAGGAAATCCTTTGAAAGTGATCGAGACACTTTGTATGCCTTGTGATCTGGGAAGAGTTTGAGCCAGTTGAATCTGAGGAAGTGGACAGAGGTCTTGTGGCTATGAGCTTGGTTCCCTGTGTTCTTGACCAATGCCCCTCGTGATTGATTAAGGCTTCCTAGAAGCTGACATGCAGTTGGGTTCAAGCAGTGGTTAATGCATCTTTGTGAGAGGGAATGGTACTGCCTGCCTTAAGAGAGTGTTTGTGTGACCCCTTCTCAAGAGGGCATCCTTGAACTCAATGGTGCTAGACAATTTTCATCCAGTCTCTAACCTTCTCTTTTAGCGATGGTTTTTAAGGTGGTAGGTGGTGTACAGATGCAAAGGGCCCTGGATGAAACACATTATCTGAACTCATTTCTGGATTCAGGCCAGGGCACTGAAATGGCATTGGTCATACTTGTCAATAATTTTTGGAGAGCTCAGGATAAGGTGGTGCAACGAACCCCTGGACCTCTCCGTGGCTTTCAGTACCATCAAGAATGGCAGTCATCTAGGCTTCAGGGGTTGGGAGTGGGAGCACTGTGTTACAGTGATTCTCCTTCCTTTATGTTCCAATCGGTGTTGGGGTGGGGAGAAAAGGTGAAGCCCTAGGTCCTTGCATTGTGGAAGCCTTAGAGCTCAAGTCTTTTGCCTCTCTTCTTTAATATGAAACTGCTGGGGGAGATCATTTGCTCTTCTGGTATTGGCCAAGTGTCTGCAGACTGTAACAGTCTGGTTGAGAAGAAGCCAGCTTCAACTCAAACCTGGCAAGAAGGAGCAGCTCTAGGTTTTCAGCTCCCCAGATGATATTTCATCTTTGTCTTTGGTTGAGGTGGCACTTCCCTGGGCTGAGGTGAGTCCTCTTAGTCTCATGATTCTTGCTTAAGGAACAGGTTGTAACTATGGCTGGGTAGAGGAGACTTTGCACAATTGCCTAGTGCACCAATTATGTCCCTTTTTGTACTGTTAGGCCTTGCTTATGGTTACTCATGACTTGGTCACTTCCTGTTTGGATTACAGCAGTATGCTCTACATGTGGCTGCTCTTGAAGTCCACTTGGAAGTTACACCTGATCCAGAATGTGGGGGTGCATGCAGTGATGTTAGGTTTAGCCACATTATACCCCTGTTGCATGAGCTGTACTAGCTCCCAATTTCCTTTCCCAGTGCTGGTTCTTTCCTTTAAAACCCTAAAATATATAAGATCAGGTTAACTAAAAGACATCCTCTCCCCAAGGACATCTGCCCACCCTATCAGTTTGGATAGGGTGGGCATGCTTCTAGTCCCTACCCTTAAATGTTGCCATTTTATGGACCTAGGAAATGTGTCTTTTTTTTGGGAAATGTGGCAGCCCCTGCCCTATAGAACGCTCTTCCCATTGACGTTTGGCAGGCCTCCACCCTTTTAGCCTTCCTAAAAGCACCTAAGACCTGGCTTTCCCCCCAAGTCTTTGGATAGGGTGAGATTAGAAGAAGACTTTGTGGTGGACTGCATATAAAAGTTTTAACTGTGGTGCCAAATTTTGATATTTGTGGTTTTAACATTTTTATTGCACACGTATGTTATTTTAGCTAGTGGTAGTGAGCTGCCCAGGGTTTGGTACAAGATGGGGAGCTATATAAATATTTTAAATAAATAAATAAATAAATATATATCTACGCAATCCTATTGCATTGCAAGCCAGAAGTTGGGGGACTTTGTTATTTGCAGTGATCTTCCTGAAGAGAAGGAACTCTTTCATGTAGCCGCATGAAATCTAAACCTGCTTGGAGTCAAAGAAGATATTACTTGTTCATCATTTTGTACCTATACTTTGGAAATGGATAAGTGCACCACATAAGTGCAGTTGATAGGAGAGAAAAGCTAGTTACGTGTTTTCTTCCCAAAGCTTTAGAAGCTGCTACTTAAACACTTCGTCATTGTTGTTTCTTCCATGATTTTTTTTAGAGCTGACCTTACCATTTGGCAGAGTAGGAATCTATCCCAAGATTTGATTTGGCTGCCTTAAGCAGGGTAACACTTATATAGCCATAGATGTAGATACATGATACTGATATTTCCAGCAAAATGGAGGCATCTCTTATCATTATCGATGTCCCTCTAATAAAAACTATTTTCCGCTTTAAGTACTATTCGTATACGTCCTGCCTTGACATGGGGAAGGAGCAGAAAGATTCAAAGCATTTACTCTTCTGTCTCAGGCAAGAAAATGTTTGGACCAGCCTTGCTTCCCCGGAAGCTTATCTGGAGATGATTCTCCAGTTGAACAAAATGTATCTCCAATGAGGAGTAATATGGTTTAAATTAATAAGGAATGAACAACTGCACCAGACATTAACTGGGATAACTTGTAGCCTCTTTGCTCATTTTTCATGTGTGATCATTTTAAGTACGGGAGCTTCGTTTGCATGAGAATTAACTTGGACACCAACTTGATTTGCATTTTGCCTAGCAATAATTTTGCCAAATGTTGTTACTTGTATACTGAAGCATTTAAATCCAGTAATTCCAATTGTCTTTTTCTATTCCTTTTCACATCTCATTTGTGTAATTTAAATGCATGGTATCTTTTATGCATGCTATTGATATGAATGAGTGAGTGAGTGAGTGAGTGAGTGAATGAATGAATGATATAATGCAAGCTGCCAAATTTCAGCCTAAAACGAATGATTCCTTTAATATATAATAGCAGTGCCTTACAATACTAGCCACATTTCTTAACTCTCCTGTATATAGTTTTGTTTGTTTTTCCTTCTCTGGTTTTCCCCTTGCCATTGACTTTTGGTTGGGTTTTTACTTATGCCTGCCTCTTTACTGCTCTCTTTGTTTTGTTTGTTTGTTTGTTTTTCCATTCTCCTCATTGGAGGCAATGAGCCGTCCAGCGGTCGGAATTCCCCGGCCCCTTATCGGCCCGACAGTCGCCCTCTAACACCAACTTACGCTCAGGCCCCTAAACATTTCCATGTTCCAGGTAGGAGTGGCATTGTGTGTCTTGGTGTCTTGTCCGAGTGTAGACTGTAGTAGCCTTTGTAACTCTTTGTTTTTGTCTCCATCGCTGCATGCTGTTTAGTTGTTTTGAACTTGGGATATACCCTAAACTGGTTTTAAATCCAGACTTGTTCATTTAATTTTGGAACAATTAGAAAATGCTGGATATGGGGAGATTTTTAGTTATAAAATTAATATTTCTCCATAGAGAAAACAGCGATACATAGTGGTTTAGTTTAGCTGCAAAGCCCAATTTTTTTTCTTGTTTGTCTCAGAGTTATACCATGTTGATATTGGCTAGTATTTTTTAACAAAGGACAAGATACAAGATGCAGTCCTAAGCATACTTGAAAGAAATTAAACATTATCAGCTTTTCTTATAAATTTTCAAAAGTAAAAAGGAAACTAAGAATAGTAAAAGGAAGAATTTACATGACACCATCTCAATAATAGCATTAATTATTCAGTTAGTCTTATCTATGTACATATCATTTGCAATTGATTGGTTTACATGATCTTAGAAAAAATAGAAAATTAACTATACATACTGGTATAAAGAGACAAAACATCAAAATAGGCCTCTGCTGAAAATCCCATAACAACAGAATGCTTTATCAATATCAATATCAATGTCAAAATGGAGGTAAGTTCTTCATACCTTTATATCTTTGTATACTTGAAAAAGAAGGGGTATCCTTCATTCTTATGGGTTTTTTTGTTATCATTGGTAAGTGCAATATCCATTTTGTTTGTCTTCTGATCAGTAACCACACAATTAGTGCATAGTTTAAAAAGAACGGGAGTCTTCCAATTAAAAACCCTCAAATTAATAGCTAGATACCTTTTTGTAAAAGGAAGCTACTGTAGTGTCCAGACATACCTGTGACTCAGTGGGGCAGTTGATCACCTCCTCTCCACAAGAATTAAGACTTTCTGTGGTTTGTCAGTCACTCTCAGTCAATATAGATGTGACACGGAGAAGCCAAGATATCCTTCCATTTAATTTTGATATGTTGATATTCTAGATTTTTTCTGTACCTTTGCATACTTAATTTAGTATAACCTATTAACTATTTATAAATAATACTGTAGGCATATTATTTAAATGTCAGATAGTTAACAGAGATTTCTGAAGTACTTAAAACTGTAGGACTACTTTCTTGGTCAGCATGTTGCATTTCTCATTATTCCAAGAATCCCTAAGAAGAAAACTGGCAGGTTGACACAATTATGGAGCACCCATGGAAAACGGCAGCAGTGATCAGTTTTCTGACATTTCCCATTTCTTTTCACCACAACTTTTGTTCCCCTCTCACTGCTGTCCCTGGGTGGGTCAGTGAGGAGAGCTATAAATCCACGGGTCACTTGACTTACTTTAGCTATATATAGACCTGATATGTAATATGTGGGGATTGTACTCCAAAAGGTTATCAGATTAGGACAGAAAGATGGACTATGTGCAATTTAAATTAATGAAATTAATTAAATATATTTAGTATTTTCCAGCCAAGGTTTCAAAGGGTCAGAAGGCTGTACCTAAAGGTCTGGGACTGCATATAAACCTGGGGCTCATGGCATGGGTCATGCCTTAAAAGGGTAGCATATCATTGTGTGGGACAGTTTTAAGATACAAATGGAATTAAGGTTTTGATTACATTTTGGATATTCCCCACTCCAATAGTTTCCTTCCCATTCTGGAGCTCTCTATCAAGAATGCATGTTTCAGAAGATTGGAGTCAAAAGCTCAAATGAACCCTAATATAGCCTAACTTTCAATCTTGTGTACATTTAATCTGGCTGTTACAATACTATACAACATCCATTGCTGATACTGGGAATATTTTAGAGACTATCATATTAGAATAAAAAGTATTTTTGGGAGGAAGAAAAATATTTACTAACATATAACAGAATTTACAGAGTTGGAAGAGACCTTGGAGGTGTTCTAGTGCAACCCCCTGGCTCAAACAACAAACCCTATACCATTTCAGACAAATGGTTGTCCAATCTCTTCTTAAAAACCTCCAGTGTTGGAGCACCTACAACTTCTGGAGGCAAGTTGTTCTATTGATTAATTGTTCTGTCAGAAAATTTCTCCTTAATTCTAGGTTGCTTCTCTTCTTGATTAGTTTCCATGCATTGCTTCTTGTCCTGCCTTCAGGTGTTTTGGAAAAGAGGTTGATCTCTCTTCTTTAAGGCAGCCCCTTAGATATTATTATTTATCTAAAGTTCCTTAAATGAAGATAACTATCCATTATGTACCATTCCCTAGATACATATACTGAATATCCTTGCCCAGCATGAAGTGATCTTGTTACACGTGGCAAATTGATGTGTCACAGAGCTCTCGTCTCAAAGGATTTGAAAGAGAGAAATGTCAGTCCCTTTATAATTTTAGCGACATTTCCTGTTAAACATGTCAAATATATATTTTCTAATAATTACTATGTGATTGTGATTACTATGTGATTGTAATTTTTTCAGCAAAGTAATAGAACAACTTGCAACAAAGCATTTAACTTCACAATCATCCAGTGCACACTTAGGTTTCTCCAAAACTGCCTATGTGGGGTTTTGAGCCAATACTACTGCTTAATCCAACCTATCCCTGAGGATTGTTGTGGGGAAAAAATGGAAGAAACAGTGCTTTCCTAGCTTCCATGAGATCTTGTACGAAAATAAGGAATCTTATAAATAAAAGAATAAATAAGATTGTGGTATTGCTTAGCAAAGAAAAAAGATGTAACCTGGTAAGGAAAAATTATTTTAAAATCTCTGGAACAAACCCAGCATTTAATGATTGCACTTTATAATAGCTGTTAACACAGTTTTTTAAATTACCATGTTTTTGATTGGCCATATTAATTAATTTGCAACAAGCTTTCTAATATAGGAGTGATGTACTATATAATGCATACCAATACCCGCTTTCAGTTCTCTGTAATCATAGGCATACTTAGAAATACACTCCACTGGACTCCAGTGGTGCTTATTTCTGTGTATAAGAGTGATAATGAAATGGACAGGATAGCATTCTCATTTTTCTCTGGCTGTTGAGTAAACATAGAGACAGAATGTCTTAATCCAAAAATGATTTTGGTTTTAGCGCATATTTTCTAAGAATCCTCTCTTACAACAATTATTAGCATTCTTGTTTTTCTATATTTCAGCAGAATAGCTGAAATAGCCAAACTCATGAAAAAGAACACCACTCCTATTTAAAACTATTAGAATTTGGATTTTTGAAAATACTGATTTGCCAAAAATTTATCCTGAAAAGGTGAACAACTATTTTGCAATATAAGCTGACCAGACCAAGTAACATGGCAAAAACATTTTTTGAAGTGCCATATAGTCTTGAAGAAAATAGCTCTAGTTCAAAAGGGAACTTCAGAAGCAAGTTCTGAAACTTTATGTAAATTCACATCATTAATGTCTGTGGTTGGAAAACAAATAGAACTTATGTGGCCAAGTTTCCTAGTTGATATGGTGAGCTATGTTCTGTGCAAATTATTTTTGTCTCCAACCAAGGCATCATCATTAATATCCCCTGAAATGTTTATCCCATTAACAACCCACTAAGAATATAAACAGAAAGGTTTACCCTTTAGGAATCCCATATGGCCAGTCATGTGTCAAAATTTCTTATCATGTGTCTGTGATAGTTTTCTACGTTTGTGTGAATGTGCGTTTCTTTCATAAGACACTTAGCAGTTTGGTGTCATGGTTTTTCAGTTCATATGCCAAGACCTTGGTTTGGAACATCCATTCATTTTATGTTTGATTTTCCCCCCCTCTTCTATGTGTAATAATTGAAAATATAAAATTGTTTATATTTTTCTGCTCTTTATTTTTATTTTTTTACAGATCAAGGGATCAATATTTATAGAAAACCACCTATCTACAAACAGCATGGTAAACTTTATTCTTTCTGTCTTCAAAATGGGATAATCAAATTATTGAATACTTACATGAACAATAACATTCTTCTGCACTTATTGTATTACATACAGTACTAATTGATTATTGATTATTTTTAAAGTTAATATAATTTTTCTTTTTTCTTTTCTTTCTCTCTGTTGAGGTAAATAAAATAGATTTAAATGATGTAGGTTACATAATATGCCTCTCTGTTTTAGCTTGTCATTTGCTACAGCAGATGTATTCCTTATGTTTATTTCTTTACTCAGGAGCCCCTTTGAGATAAAAAAAATGTATGTTGGTGTTCATTTCAATACTTCAAACTGGCTTTATATTTTTTTAAAAAAAATTATAAGAGGCTGTTTTTAAACCAGTCCCAGAAACTGAAAATGCCTGATCTCCACAATAAAATCTGTGTAGCAGGCATTAGAGTTGACCTACATTGAGTGTCCTACAATCACTTAATAAGCTCTGTAACCACAGAACAAAACTTGGTCCAACAACTTGATCTCTATATTAGCTTGATTTTTGTATTTCTAGAAATGATTGTGACCAATTAATATTAAGAAGGGACAATCACAGCCTAAACCTTAAAATATTACAGGCTAATTCAGAAGCGTTTACTACTACATTTCCTTGCTGTTGGAGTTTTTATTGTTATATTTCTAAATCAGGAAATAACATTTTTGTTTAATTTAAATTTATTTTATTTTATTGCCACCATTTCTGAAGGTTTTGACCCCAAAGACCACATTTGTTGCCAGTTTGGAAACACATGGAACAATTTTCTTAAAAAGACATAAGAATGTCTTGTTGTGGTTCTCCTTTCTGAACACTCATCTCTTAACTTCACTTAGCTAAACAGATAATCTAAGAAAACAAACTAGTTCAAACACACCTTGAACTAGTTTCAGAACCATTCCTCTGATTTGAGTGAGTGTACATACACACACACACACACAAACACACACACACCAATTGATATTGGTACATTTTTAAAGGCTTTCAGTTCCTCTTGACATGGGAAATTATATATTTTTTAAAAAATTAATAGGTTCCTCCTCTTCCTCCTCCTTTTTCTTCTCCTTCTCCTTTTCCAAAGATCATGACAGATTATTCATTATGGAAAGCAGTGTGGAAAGTACCTAATAAGATGCATTAGCTTTGAAACAAAACCATCTTTGTTTTAAAAAAATACTGGCATTCGAATGCATTTTGTCTCTACTGTGTCTTGCTGTGCTTGACCTAATTTAAACTATAACTAATAAGAATCTCTTTTCTAAGTTGAAGCCAAGCACCAAGTCATCTAAACTCCCAAAAGGCAGTATATTTGTACATATGCCAAGTATAGGAATAGCTATATACAATAGAATATGCTGATAAAAAAGAAAGAGAGTAATTCTTTAGAAAAAAGAATACATTTTTATTAGAAAAATCACATTTAAATAGAAAACCTAAAATACCTAATCTAGCTTTATTCTAAGTAAATGAAAGAAAGATGTAGCCTTCTGACCCTCAAGAAGCCTAGAATAATATCTATTCCATTACCAGAATTGAGAGAGAGAGAGAGAGAGAGAGAGAATAAAAGTGAGAGTCCTGAGAATATCAGTTTAATCAGTGGTATTTAAGCCTAAAAGGGAATGATCAATATAAAGTTTCCATAAATAAATATTCCATAAAAAGATTAAAGGCAAATCAAATTCCTAGAAAAAATAAAACTTCCAGAACATAGAATATAACAAGATTTGTTTGCCTGAGCGAAAATATTGATCATTATGTTGCATTTAAATTACAGTGTTATATTAATTTAAAATTTTAACCCTGTCATTTCACTTTTTCTTAATGTTATTTTTATTTCTTTATGATTTTATTGTGTCATCTTATCTCCCATTAACTTGTGAATATTTTACCACTGAACTCATCCATTTCAATATGTAAGTATTGTTTGAAATTGTGCCTTTGTAGTGTCAAACAATGAGCCAAGGTAGCTGTTTTTTATCCCTTAGAACTAGACTGGACAGTAGCTCTATGTGCATAGCATACATGAAACCTAGAAGGGGAAAAATTAAAACGTGCTGTCAATTCATCTTTCAAATTCATCCTTTAGCACATCGTGCTTGCAAAGAAATGGAAGTAGAAGTCTTGATGTCCCCGAAATCAAGATTTCAGAACAATCAGGAATCATGAATTTTGTTTCTCTTGCAATACCTCTTTTTTCTTTGCAGCCATTTCAATGCATATGCAAATGGTCAGCAACATGCACAATTGAAGCATAGTGGGGCTTTGAAGAGAAAATTCAGTGGAAAAACTAACTATTCACTAACGACACAACAACACTCCCACAATCCTGTACAATAATGCTCAACTTAATTCATTTTTTGAATAACTCTTAACTTTTCACAGAAGGTGAAAAAAAAAGTCGTAGAAGTCCAGCAGAATTGCAGATACCATATTTTGAATTGATTGCTATTATTGCCATTTTGCATGTTTTTAAAAGTCCATTTATTTAATTGTATCATTAAGCAAATCTGGCTTTTCCCATTGACTTTGCTTGTTGGAAGCCCCTCTGGGAAGATCACAAATGGTAATTGAAATGTGTGTGATTCTTGTGGACTAGATGACCTCCAAGGTCCCTTCCAACTTTATTATTATTATTATTATTATTATTATTATTATTATTATTATTATTATTATTATTATTATTATTATTTGATCCTGGGATACTGCAAATATTTTTAAATACATGCAGTTGCTAACTGCCAAATTTTGATTATATCACTCTGTGGACACTGCGGTGGTTGTTAGTATAATGACCAGTTGTAAGTCACTTTTTCCAGTACTGTCATAACTTAACAGCCATTAAACAAATTGTCCTAAGTTGAGCACTACCTGTATAGCAATAAGCTGACCTTACCACAATTGAGGTTCATCTCATGGTGATAGTCACAGCCTAACTTCATCTTTAATGCATTGCTTCTAAATATTCCAATAGATTTTTAATGATATATGTGTTGTTTGGATAAATCCTGACATGAAAGAAATTAAAATGAAAATACAATAGGCAAATTTCTAAACAACTTCTAAAAGTTGTTACTGAATGTTTACAGCAAAATAAATGATATTCACTATCATTCAGTTATATATTTATAGTTCTGAACCTAACAGCAAATATTTATTAATTAGTTGATCAGGAAATGACATAGAAAGGTTGAATGTACTGTATATTCACTACACACAGGAAAAATACCATTATTGTCATTATTATGATTATAATACTAAAAAGTTGCTATGTAGAGTTTCCATTATTCCAGTAAACTTACATATTTCTAGCCATTCAAAAATTGCATACAGATCTAGCATTATATACATAATTGGACTGAAAATAGCCAATTTTCTCTACTGGACTCAGCTTAGGGATATCTACTTTTGTGAATTTGTTGGAGGTGCCAGCTCTATACACTGTAGATTTCCACTATTTTAAATGTGCCTTTACAGGTACTCCTTGACTTACAACCACAGCTGGAACAGAACTTCAATTGCTAAATGATGTGATCATTAAGTGAGTCATCATGTGACTGAACCCAATTTTATGACCAGTTGTACCCTGGTTGTTAAGTGAACCACTGTGATCGTTACACAAATCACATGGTCATTACAAATCACATGGTCACGTCATTGTTAAGTGAATCCAGTTTCCCCTATTGAGTTTATTTCTTGGAAGCCAACTGGTCACAAATAGCAATCACTACAACTGTTGTATGTGCGAACTAGTTGTCAAGCGCCCACATCATGATCATGTGACCATGGAGATAATACAGTGGTTGAAATTTCAAGAAGGGATGATCAGTCACTTTCAGTGCCATCATAACATCAAACTTCTCTTACTTGAATGGTCAAAAGTTAAGGCCCACCTGTATTATTATACAGTAATGTGGTGGAAACTTCAGCTGAAGTATGGAGGGGGAGGAAGGAGTTAAGACACTAGCTAACCTGGAATCCCTTAAGCGGAGGAAGTGATGGAGAATTTATCTAGTTTTATAGCGAGTGCAGATAATCTGGCAAAATTCTTGTAAATAGGTGAGTGGTAATAAACATACTGCTCTGATCAGTGTCTTATGGTTTCCTGTGCCTGACAAGTAAGTTTATTTTTAAAAGGGCAAATAGAGATGATTGAAATCACAAATGGGGAGACTTTCTCTATTTGGTTAAGAGCTACATTCCCACATAGGTAATTTGTCAGGAACCTAATTCTGCCAGGGACTCCACTTTTTCCCTGTACTTATATGTTCCCTTATATGCCACCCTGCATGGCATTGTGAATGAGTAGTTTGTTTCTTCCAAAGAATATTTGATGTAAATGAAAAAATATGTTCATGAATGAGTGAATAAATGAAACAAAACATGAGGGACGGGCTAGACGTATGGCTGAATTAGCTTTTGAATTACTGTTATGTACCTCATTTACATTGTGTAGGAGGGAATGAGGCTCAGTTCAGAAGAGAAATGCTCCCTTGGTTCTTGTGTTAATGCTCTATTTGTATGCACCATACAATTGAAATTCTCAGGAATGTCAAGCTTTTACGTATTACAGAAATTGGGACTTTATCTGTTACCAAAAGAGAATGTGAAAAATGTGATTGTAAGAGAATTTGGAATACAATAGTTCCATAGCATTAGTCTAGGCCATAACAAAGCAATTTAATTGGCTAGTTTTAAGTTCCCCCTAATTACCATCTAGATGCAGCTGCTCTGGCAGCCCAGAACAAGCCTTTCGATGATATCATCAAGTCCTCCAAGTTCCCAGCAGCCCATGCTCCAGCACCCAACGAGATTCCAAAGATTGAGACAGAATACTGGCCAGGTCCTCCCTCACTTGCGGCTGTAGGTATGAAACAAGTGATGTGGGTGAAAACCCATCACACCTTCCTGCTATCAATAAGTACACTTAGGCTGCTATGAATGCTGCAAAGCTTCTCACGAGGGCATTGAACTTTTTTTTGCACTGAGTGCTTGACCTCTTAGCACAGTTATGCTAAGTATCTAATTAATATTGGGGTTGTGGGGGGAAGTGTCACAAACTTTATAGGATTTGATAGCATCAGAATTACCTCTGGGGATTTCAGTCCCCATAGTCTACATCACAGAAGAGATGCTTCAAGAATCTTCTCACTATAAGTCCCTTTCTCTGGATGGCTTCCCCAGAATCTTTAAGGGTTTTAGCACAGGAGGTTGTTTTTTTTTAAAGATACTACCAAAGTGTGTGTAGTGTCCACTGGTTACATCTGTTCATCAGAGTGAAGCAGCTAGGCCAGCTTACAAATGCATTATACCTTCTCATGCATTGTTCTGTTCACCTTTTGCTTTATTCATTCAAGCAAGCAATGATCAGCCGTGAGCTATGAATGCTGACATTGGAAGACAGAGTTAAATGAATTCCTTAATCCACTTCATTGCCTTCAGAAAAGCAGCAGATATGCCAATATTGAAGTACAAGCTCATGGCTAGTCAATCCCTCTTCTGTTCTTTGAATGGGTGTGTGGTGTAGTGTAGACATTTCCACATGCTGAAACCAGACTCTTTTGGCTTGTTGTTGGACAGTAATAGCATGTATAATATTTAAAGTAGCAAAGCTTATATCTCCCCATTGCATCATTTTTGTGCCTTAAAGTTCTTAACTTTATTTTCCAATCTGTGTTTCATTTCTCTAAGTATTATTTTTAGACCCCATGTGTTCCATGACACATTGTTTAAGTTTGTTCACTCGGAGTTGGGTCCTACCTGTACAGACTCAAAATGATACATGTTGAGATTAAGGAATTTGATATGAGGTTATTTTGATGGACCAAATTCATTCTTTCTTCTGCTAGAATTAAATATCAACTTCATGGAAGAAAAAAATAACATTTAGTCATATTTTACTTTCATAGTATTTATTATAAATCTGAATATTTAAATATGGGTTAGGGCATATCTGTTATTCCACAGCTGAGGACAAAATTATTAGATAGGGCTGATTTTTTTTCTTCTATTCAATTGTGTCCAATTCGTGGAGACTGCTTGGACTTGCACTTTTCTTGGCAAGATTTTTGAGAAGTGGTTTGCCATTGCTTCCTTCCTAGGGCTGAGAGAAAATGACCGGCTCAAGGTCACTCAATCGGCTTTATGCCTAAGGCAGAACTTGCAGTGTCCCAGTTTCTAGCCTGATGTCTTAATCACTACACCACACTGAATTTCATTACCATTTATTTACATTAGTTAAAATGATAAAGGAATAGGACAGAGAGTAATATCAAGATAATAAAGGGTGATTAAAAATATCTGCAATGTGTAGCTTGCCATTATGTTTGTCTCAGGAATCAGATTTGGGATGTCACAAAAGCAAAGTATGTGCATAATTATTTAAATTACTATTTTTTTTAAAAAAAATCCCAAGATGATAAAAATCCAGTTGTAGAATCTTCTGCCTTTTATGTCACAATAATTTGATTGAGTTTGGAATTAGGTAGAATAACTTGAGAAGAGATCAATTGCTGCTCCTTGTCATATAGCAATTTATTCTGTATTGACCAACTTTGACCACAGTTCAGTATGTGAAGTCAGTACAGTTATTATAAAAGACTGAGATTGTCAAAATCATATATTGATTTTACTGTAACTAAAAGTCAGAGGAATTATATCAGCAACTAAGGATGTATAGTCCTCAAAAAGAAAAGGAATAGGTTACCCTATAACCTCTCAGAATAATTTAGCATTTGAGACCAAAGATATTTTAGTTCCTAAAATATTTTTAACGAACTATTAAAAATAAGGTTTTTAATAAACAAAGAAATAAAATATTGTGGGCCAAATTATGATTCTAATATTGGAAATACAGTATTTTCACCAGAGTAATAGCTGTGACAAAAATCTTTCTACAAGCCTGGTCTCCAAGATAGACATTTTTTCTCAACACATTCCCCTTACTCAAAAGAATTGTCTATATTAATCAAAATGTTACTAATTATGTTGTATACTTTGTAAAATTCTCCATTACATAACATTATGCACTTAATCATCAAAATGGTTTTACGTACAAAAATGTATTATTTAATTCAGAGCCAGATTATCTTCTTAAGACTGTTTTGAGATAGAATCGGTAGATTATTTAGGCATTTACTTAAGTATTTAGTTAATTTCTTCAACAATCAACTCAGGAAAAATGTATTGGTTATTACCTAGACTGAAATAGGTTCTTTTTACTGTGGCTTATGGAAGTAGGTTCTGATATGCGACGCCGATCCACTGGCAGAGACGAAGACCTTGAAGAACTTCAGAGGCGCCGGCAGCTGCAGGAGGAACAGTTAATGAAGGTGGCTGTCATCTTAATGTATATTCTCCCTCTGTGCCAAAATCTACATGATGGAATCTTTTTTACTAGCTTACTTTTTCCTCAAAATTCTCATTTGCAGCTAAATTCAGGCCTGGGGCAATTGATACTAAAAGAAGAGATGGAAAAGGAAAAGTCGTTGCTTGCCAGCAGATGTTACGATTCTCCAGTTAATTCATGTAAGCAGCAAAATTAGAAAACCATAAAGGATTATGGGACATGATGAACTAGGACTACAGTCCTCTACTGTATTCACATAGCTGACAGTTGAGCCAATTGACTTCAATGAGATTTAGTTTTTAATAGATCTGTATAGAGTTGTACTGTAAAAAGTTGATATTATGGCTGGTTCTCATCTAATTATTGAAGTTCTGTTTCTGATAATGCAAAACATGACTTCTAAATAATAACCAGGAAGCAGCTTTTTCTCTGATGTGTTTACTGTCTACGTTATAACTCTAGTTATTTCTCACAAAGTATTATCGGATGTTTTTAAATGAAGAAAGATTCCCAATGGACATTTCTCAGCATCTACTGAACAAATCCAGAAAAAGAAACGCCTATAAAAGAACTGTGTTCCTTTTAAGTTACAATTACATAGAAAACTTCCTGCTTTGATAATATCTGGTGAAAAGCTTTTATTGATTCAGGTTATAAGATAAAATCCTTCCAGTATTAACTATATATTTGCCACCAATCAGAAGCTATTTTTTCCTGCATCATTCAGAGCTCTCATGTGGATGTTTTGAAGAACATGCACCAAAGTTTCTCCATGTTTGTGAGATGGCTATAGTTAGGGAATTGTTACAGGGAATTGCATAGCTAATCATTGCAGACATTGTATATGGTAACATATGTACTCCCACAGCAGCTTTAGGAAGACTGATTTTGTATTTATATGATATATAGAAGCATAGAAGTTTACTACCTCTTTATATAAAATAAATATTAGACAGTTCAAGCATCTCATTTTAAAATGAGCATCTAGTTTAGAGAAAAAAGACTATGTCACACTCTTATAATGTGGCCATCTATATGAGAGGATTGCTTTCATGCAACCTATATGGGTATCTATAAAAAGCCAGTAAGTAATTCATAAAGAATGATTAAGAAAGCAACATTTGACTTGTTGATTCTCATAGTCTTTTAGATTAGGTTAGGAAAGGAAATCAATGCCTCAATGAGTAAGGCAATGCATTCAAAATACATTGATGACAGCAATATCATCAAACAGGTCTTTGGGGTAAATTGATATTTCCAAAGAGAAAGCAAAGATACAATTACTGTTTACTTATAGGAATTTTGTATATGAGATGCATGCTTACGTGCATATATTTTCCTTACACTTTTTGAGCTTTTCATTTGCTTTCCAGAACTCTAAAATATATTTTAAATATATAAACTTTTACTAGGAGACCTAGGGCAATGATAGTAACAAAAGTAAAGAAAGACAAGGATGATTATAGCTTTCATTCTATCTGTCTGCATCAAATCGCTTACTTCCAGGCAACAGTCTATAAAAATGATTCACTTCTGGGTATACAAATGTGTCTTTGTGTATGATTACAGAGAGCAGCCTATTCAGCCTAATCTGAGACATAAATTTAGTAGATTGCTTTAAACAAGTTTTTTTTTTTTAACCTCAGACTCTGCCTCCGATTTTCATCATATGGAAACAATAGTAATCCTGACTTGTAAATAACTACTGACAGAAAACAGCATTTTGCTTATTTAGTGTGTGCAAGAAAATAAACTAGTGGAAGAAAGTATGTTTTAAGCAATTTGAATCAAAGACTCAGAATTGAGTTAAACCATGACCATAAACCATGACTAGCAAGAAATTGTTGCTATGTAATATGTAGAGTGACTTGTAGACAGTTAAAATCCATCTATGTCTGTAAAATTAGAGAGGAATTGAAAATTTCATATCCAAATTTCACTTACTGGACAAAATCAAGATAACATTATTGCCTAAAAACTTCATACAGGCACAAATTTATACTTTCAAAAATTTTAATTCTAAGATGCTGTGATTTTGACGATGTATTTTTATTTCCTAATAATTATTGTTTCCTTCTTCTCACTTAGCTTTACACGCAGCTGCTTCTAAAACTTCTTCACTGCCTGGGTATGGACGAAATGGACTTCACAGGGTGAGCAGACAATTCTTTCCATATGAGAAAGTACACTTTAAATTTCAATTTCTGTTGAGCTTCTAAGGACCAAATAACTGAAACCATTTTATGTTGAATAACACTAAAACCATAGTTGAATAAAGTTCTTTAGGATACATATGTTAAAAATACAATTTAAAACAAAAATGGTAAAAATAACATAATTCAGAAATGTTAAAAATAGAATAAAAAATAAAATTAGAAGAACAAAATAGAAACATTATATCAACAGTGCAAAATTCTTACTTAGCCTTCACGATAGTTCTACCTGTATTTCTTCCAGTCTGCCATATTTCCGCTTCAAACTGTACTTTTAAGGCTTCTTAAGTGTGTTGGGAAGGAAAGGGCAGTTACTAAGGCCACTTCACCTGGGAGGGGGCTTAATCAAATGGATCTATATAAGTCCAGAATGTCCAGATAATAGAAGTCAGATAGGAAACCCAAGAATGATAATTAAATGTTACATAACTTTTTTTTAACTGTTAGTGGATTTCATCATAAATATTATTTATCTATGGAAACTATGTGATAATTAATTTCTGCATATCTGTCACTAGTGTCTATATTAAGCTGGTACAAGATATTCTGGCGCCATAGGCAGAAATACGACAAATCTAAAAATGTTCCTCAACGAAAGGTGTGGTGATAAATTATTGATAAAATTGTTTTAGACTAAAGATTTCTGCTCTTTCTCACCCTTAGTATATATATTTCATATAGCTTTATAGGCATAGAGTACAACAACATTTCTCCTGTACCACTGTCAGTTTTATATGCACTTTTTATGAATATCATGGATATTCCCAGATAAAAGGCAGTTTGGTCTAATGCAGTGGTGGCGAACCTATGGCACGCGTGACAGAGGCGGCACTCAGAGCCCTCTTTGTGGGCACGCGTGCCATGCCCCGGAGATGGCAACCGTCCCTCTTCAACCAGCCGCCTGCTAACTCACCAAGGTCCCACATGGCCGGATACATCCCAGCACCCATGCGCTCCCTGGTCTCTGTGTGCAGGGGCCGATGGTGTCAGGCAGCAGCCGCCCTAGCCCCTGCCTCACCTTGCCCTGTGACAATGGCACCCCTGCCTTGCCTTGCCTCGCCTCACCCCCCCAGGACGAGCCTCCTGCCCACCACCCCACCTGCCAGAGACCCCCTGGATCTCCCCCAACCCTGCCCGGCCTCCACAGGCGTCCTTCCCCACGAGCAACATTGAGGTGATCATGCCCACCTTGGTCACACCCACCCAATCTGCCATAACCATCACAGCCACGCCCACCCAGTGGACCACGCCCACCTGGCACCCGGCAATAAATAAGTGGGTTTTGGATTGCAGTTTGGCACTTGGTCTCTAAAAGGTTCGCGATCACTGGTCTAGTGGTTAAGACATTAAGCTAGAAATCAGGAGACTGAGTTCTAGTTCTGCCTTAGCAATGAAAACTATCTGGGTGACTTTGGATCAATCAACTCTGTCAGCCCAACCCATCTCACAGGATTGTTGTGGGAAAAACAGGAGAAAGAAGGAGTATTGGTTGTTTGCCACCTTGAGTTATTTATAAAAATAATAAAGGGGGAGGTAAAAAATAAATAAATATAAATGAGTGTATTATTGATATGTTTTACATGGCTTTTGTGCTGATCTTTTTATTGTCATTCAATGTACAGATAATGTGAGTTACCTGTTCATTTTTTTTATATATATATATACAGCCGATGTCCACAGACTTTGGTCAGTACAACAGTTATGGGGATGTGAGCAGTACAATTCGAGGTAAGTTTGTAAAGGAAATAGAGTGTGAGGTTTGGGCTGTAGGTGGTTTTTTAGTTATTTTCAGCACTTATGTTTTCTGTTGTGTTTTTATAGTAATACATAAGGTCATCTCTCACATAAAGCTTTTGGATACCATACTTACTCTTGAAATATAGGTACACTTGCCATTTGTTGAAAAAAAGGGTGGAAGAGATGGTTCAACAATATATTGAAGAGGATGTTGTAAAAATGAAATTAAAATTTAATGAAGGCAGAAAATATATGTATTTTTAGGAAAGATAATTCTTTAGGAAAGACTCTAAGCTTAAAACTTTTGTTCAGAATGTATCTTATCCTAATTATGTGTCTTCTCTCCATATTTCCCTTTTCAGATTACCAGGTTGGTAAAGATTTTCATCCATCAAGTAACAGAAACAAATTCATCAACAGTGCACCAACTATGTTATTCATATGTTAGACAAATTTCTTGAAACTTGTTAATTTGCTTGTTTTATTATTAATGATATAAATATGACATTATGGGAAAAAGTGTTTTACTGTCAGTTTTGTGATTTTTTTTATAGCAAACATTTCTAAGATTGTCAAAGAAGCAATCAGTGACAGTTCTCTCATTGATTGATTTCTCCTGACCACTTTGGTATTATCCAAAGAAAGTCCAAATATAATTCTGCTTATTCTATAGTTATACCTTTGCTCTTCTTCTCTAGATGATTTTCTGTCTTGTTTATATTTTATTGTGAGCATGAAATAAAAAACTGATAATGTATTTTATACAAAACAGGCACATGGGCTGTATAAAATGGCCAATTAAAAATGTAGTGTTATTTCTTAAACATAACCCTTCTCTTCACATGTTTGAATATTACTGTTATGGAAATATCTATACATTAGTTACAGAAAATACTTTATTGATGTAGAAGGAATTAAAAAAAATATTTGTTAAAAAGGATTAAATGCTTTAGTACAACTGGAAAGCAACCAAATATTGTAAAGATAATAGCTAGAACTAAAACAACGAATCATTCTGCGGGACATTCCTGATTCCCTGAATAATGATGAATGAATATTCTAGATAAGCAGAAGCTACTAAATTGTTAAAGAAGTTAGGCCCTAAATATAGAATGTTTGATATTTTTAAAACTGATCCAGTAGTTTGTGTTTCTTATGACCAAAAAGTTTTCTTATTTGGTCAATCGGTCTTTGGGAAGAGTCCCTGGGAAGCTTCATAATTGAAAGAGAGGAGCATGAATAAAGGCTACTTAAATTAGGAGCCACATCTATAAGTATAGTATATATTGGGCATAATTATATTTATTATACATATTTCTTTGTAACCTTAGCTTAAATTAAGGTGCATACTTAGCATGAATACCTTTACTCTATTTGTGTGGGTTTGTAAATAAGGATGTAATCTATGTGTTTGATACCCACCTGCTTCTGATACAGTTTCACCCAGATGGTCATGTCCCTGCAATGCGAATGGACCGAGGAGTTTCTATGCCTAACATGTTGGAACCAAAGGCAAGTGCTAATTTTATTCATTGTGCTTCTCAACAATGAAGGGTAATTTTTTTTTGAATGATAGATGCTATTAAAAATGTTGTGGTATCCACTTTTTAATTTGTTTATTTATATGCCAGTGCTCTCTTTTTCGGGACAGTAGGACATCCCCTTTATTTTAAATGAGAACATAAGATAAGAGATTTAATATATAGGAAACTAGATGGCAGTATTCTAGGTAGACTTAAAACAAATAGACCTTAACAATCATTGGAAATCAGCTAGCCACACTAGTAACCTAACAGCATTAATTGCAATAAATCAGCAGAGTGCTGCAGGGATGAATTCATTCATTTGTGTGCACAAAATAAAATGGAAATCAAAGCAGATGTTCTGATTGCGATCCCATTATATACATTTTTATTCAGAAGTAAATTCTAGTAATTCAATGAGATTTATTCCCTGAATCACATGATTCAAAATAGGATATCCAAAGCAATCCAAAGTGTATGTGCAGGAAAGGGTTGTTACGTGAAAGGCCGTTTTCAAAACCAGACTAATTAAGGTTGTACATTTTCTTTTCCTTATAACTCTGAAAGAAGAATAATTTCTTCTATACAGCTCATTATTTTTGATGTAGTATAGAAAAGAGGAAGGAGGCTGTTTGAGGATGCGAAGAGGAACAAGTTTGAACTGAGATATACACAGTGAGAAAGAACCACTTCCCTTACTCTCTCTCTCCCCCTCCACACAAAACCAGAGTGACATAAATAAAAAAGCAGATACATATATAGAGAGATAAATAGATATTCATGGCCATAAACCAACGTTCTTTAGCCACAGTGTTTTTCAGACAGTCTTTCTGGAAACTCTTTTTTGTTATTCATTGGTTAAGAGTCACTGATACAGATGTCAGGTTAGTTCTTAAGAAATATGCTCAGGATGTACAGTGTCCTGGTCATTATAGTTTTAACACACGCAGCCCTAACTTGGGATTGTAGAGACATAGTCATGGGAAAATTAAGGCAATACGAGGCTGCAATGTATATATGCTTATCTCTGAGTATATTTAGTTGAAATCTTCAGAGACTATATATACAAGTTTTCCATTGTCACAATGAGTTCACCCATCATCTGACTTCAAACAAATAAGCCAAACCCAATCACATTCTGGTTTGGCACAATATGTGAATGCAGCCTTATAGAGGCTTGTTTATATATTCCTGATTTTTAGTCTCTAATATTTATTTTATTAAAACTCAAGGTTCCTGCACAAGATGCTTGCACTATCACATATAACTAGCTTAATAGGGTGGTGGTATGGTGACTAAATGGGTATGTCGGAAAGTAACTTTTAGTTTAACTTAAAAAGAGAAATGAAGAGGACAAATATAAGCAAAGGAATGGCCACTGAATTAACTTTTTAACAGTTTGCTTGTGAGTCCAAACGCTAAGAAGACAAAGGCAAATCAGTAGTGATCTGTAAAAGAAAGAAGATAGTAAGCACTATCTATGAGCTCATCAAGGGGAGAGAGAGAGAGAGAGAGAGAGAGAGAGAGAGAGAGAGCGCATGCATGCATGCATGGGGACATCTTTATAATTATGAGACTTCATTGTTCAGTAACAAATATTCCAAGGAAGCATACAAAAGACTGCACTTTGCGTACCCATACTTAAAACAGCCATGTAATGAACTTGCAGCTGTCTTTTGACAATGACCACATTATGCTTGCGAATTTAATGTCTATTTGTGTCATTTAATAAATTCTACATAAAGGCCTCTTCTATACGGTTAACAGATATTTCCTTATGAAGTACTCATGGTGACCAACAGAGGGCGAAATAAAATTCTAAGAGAAGTGGATAGAACCAGGTTGGAGGTAAGAACCAGGTGTCTAGTTTGGCATTAGAAGAAAGTTTTGTAAGGATATGGATTGCTCATTATTCATAAAGTTACAAGATAATGCATTAATCCGAACTAATTGCTTCATCCATACAAAACTAATTAATACATCAATCCATGCCTGCCTGCTCAGAAATAAGCTTTACTGAGTTGAGTGATCCTTTCTAAAGTAAATGTGTATAGAATCGGAACTGAAATAAGCTTCATTATTTATACACAAGTGACATTCCATGAATAAGCAGCATGTCTTTAATATCAGGACCTTGAAACTTGAACTTAGATTCATTGACTGCATTAAGCAACCGTGGCATAAAAATCAGTTCAGCAAGCTAGATTGTGTTAAAGCATAAAACCACAGCTTACAGTGCAAGTCAGCTTCTTTATAAAAGCAAGCAGTTATTGAATCAGAAAATAGGTACGAATCTATGATTTATGATATAATTCTGACTGATTCAGAAATTCTTGTCACAGCTAAAATTTTCAAAACTAATAGAGCATAACCAAATTGTAAGAGTAACCACACGTATTATAGTGTACAGCCACATTTTTCCTCAAGGTTATACTCTAGTTGTAAAACTGTCCTCAATCATATGATATAATGATGTTACCAGAGTATGTAGGGTCCAATTTTTTTAGTCCCCTCCACCATCAGTCTATTGCAGGCATGTCAAACTGCCGGCCCACAGGCCGGATACATCACGCCGAAACCGCGCCCATCCCATTGCTGGCAATGGGGAAAAAGTCGCGATATGTCGTGCAGCATCATGTCACGTCGCAAGTTTGATGTGGCTGATCTAATGTATCAGATTTAAGCCAGCTGATTTTGGTATCTATTCTGGGAGAAATATTAATGGGATTGCAAGCTGCATACCCCTGGCTTATAGAAATACTTCGCCTTTCATGTCCATAATAGGGATCAGCTGAAGATGTATGACTATAAGATATGTATCTTTTTTAAGACAAATGTGCAGACATATCCCTAGAAATAAAAACTGATCAGTTGATACATTTAATCAAACTCCATCTATACTTGAAATGTTCCAGTTTAAGTTTCACTCTTTGCCATTGATGGAGGAAAATACAAGATCTTGATACATGTGAAAGCCCTTGCGTGTACAGCTCCATATGCTAGATTTTCTTTATGCCAGCTGTCACCACAGTAACATTGGCAGGCTGCTCATATATTGAGTTTTCCAGACACTGAACATCTCAACAGGATTGTAGTCTCAACACCTCTGGAGGGCACTTGGTAGGGAAAGGCAACTTGAGCTAGAGATTTGCTCAGTCTCTAAATTATTTGCTGACTTATCTACTGCAATATTTGACTATCATTCCTATTGGCTAGAGGTTATGGTTTGCATCTTATTACTTAAATTTCCTTAAGAGTTAAAAAAGGGGGGGATTATTCTACTCTTGGATGCTTTGGCATCCCCCCCCCAAAAAAAATCCAAAAAGGCCACTTGGTGCTATAGGACACTGGCCTTTATCCACTGCTCAGGACTTTATATTAGACGTGGTACATTAGACCTAATACATTGAGGGTAATGCTGTGATATCTAGATTGCCTGTTTCTACTACTTGAATGATGATGTACTTCTGCCTTGTCTTTCTTTAGCGTCATTTAGCACCTGAGGTTTTTCAAGAAATATTTGGCATGACGATACAGGAATTTGATAAGTTACCTCTCTGGAGACGCAACAATATGAAGAAGAAAGCCAAACTCTTCTGAATTCTTCTTTCTCGGGAGAGGGAAGATATCATGTAATAGGATAATGTATTATAATCGAGTCCAAACCCTTTTTGGAGAGCAAATGCTCAAGAAGTTGGGGAGCAGAGAAGGGACAATCTGAGAAAGGCACATACTAATGCCTTGAGATTATGCAGTAGCCTGTCAAGCTTGCCATAGGCAGAGACATGAAAGGCTCTTTGTTCAAATCTCAGTCATGGTTTTCACTCATGAAGTTTTTATATGGCATATATATTCAGTCTTATGCCTTCCTCATTTTCCCTTGACTTTTATTCAAAGGTCGAGGACGCTAATTGAGAAGACCCAGGAAGTGCCCGTAGGATGCACAGCTCACAATTTTGTGGCCATGGACTTTCCAAGCAATGAATGAATATATTCTATAGTTAAGGAAGGAGTCTTGTGTAATATATTTATCCTCTGGGCACAGCTATTACAGTTAATTGGCCTTATTGTCAAACAGCTTATTCTTTCTGCAGTACCCATCAATAAAATAGGCTGCTGAACAGAGGTATTCTACTGTGCTGCATACTGGCCAATTTTTTTTAGAACAAGCTCCCAGCTTGCACATGCACATATCTAGTAGTAAATTGCCATGTTTTGTTGTCTTTTCCTGCATTAACTGAATATAGTTTTTTGCTTTAAACCACTCGGTTAAAAATTAACAAGAAGAGCAAGCACGTAAACCAAATATCAGTTTCTTGGTTTAATTATGAAGGAGTTATTTCAACTGTCATGTTAAATGTAAGCCATAGTGTCATGCAATCTTAGGTTTAATTTAGATGTGACCTTTGCTGTGTGAAAATCACTGTGACATAGTGTGGTCATGCATTGCTTGATTGTGCTTGAAAAGAAGCACTGTGTGGGCCAATATATTGATGTTGTTCCTTTTCATGTTAAAGTAAACAATATTAATCACATTGGTCCACACAAAAAAAAGGTCTGTACTAGGGCAATATCTTATTGTGATCAACCAAAAGGCACACAGTCATGTTTAAGCTCTGAGGCTTTCCAGTTTTCCTTTCATAAAGTTGTAGGATCTGATACAGGATCATCTTTCATAGGATTTAGTATAGATGTCCTAGAAAGTCCTTACTATCCTTACTGTGGAACTGAAGATTGAAAAGTGTTTTGTGAGAACAACTAATGCCAAGCAAATCAAAAGATTGGACACTTTCAAAGTTCTCTACATAGCCTATTCCAGGATTGGAACAGCATTTTTCATACACTAATACCATCCCGCTGCAAAGGTTACATTTGAATTTTTTAACATGTCTACTGGAATTGTGAATTCTGAAATTTTATTATTATATTTTAACTATTATACAGAGTGATTTTGCTGCTACACAGTGACCGTTCAAGCTATTTTCTTGTATGCACTGATAATATTGCACAATATGTCATGTTAAACAATGTTTAATTTGATTTTCTTCATGTAATCACTCATTATTCATATAAGAAGACTTGAATTTTGTGTTATTTTACTATACACAGTTTTTCTTTTTATTTACTATCAGTGCCTGGAAAAAATACTTTTATCTTGGGCAATTTCTCAATCAAATGAACCGCTCAACTACATGTAGCTCTTTTTTTTTAGAGGAGATTGTGTGACCTGGCTTCTTGTCTACCTAAGTTGCTTGGTAGATTGTGTATTTTCCATAAAGGACACATAAAATTTACTTTGATAGAATCAGAAGCCATTTTTGGCTGACAATAGGGTGCAGTGATACATTAATTTTTTACCTGAGTGATGACTGCCACTATATAAATTTTTACTTTTTCTCTTTTAATGTGCATTTCTGCTTACAGTGTAATCCTATATGTGTACATACAATAGTTTATACTAATCTAGAAGTAAAAATTCACTAAATTAAATGAAGCTTGCCATCTAGTAAGTCTGTGTAGCATAGATGAGGAACCTGTTGGCCTCCAGATGTTGCAAGACCCCAACTCCTGCTTTCCATACCATTATTAATTGGGGGGGCAACACTTGGTAATGTTATTCAGCAACATCTGTAAGGCTACAGATCCCTTGTCTCTTCCCCTGTTTAGATAGCAATTCTTATCGTAAGGTTTATGTAGGGAGGACTTGTAATATGTTTTGCTCTTACATTTAAGAGCTAAGCATAAGTGGATTCCAGTGACATATCTGAATTCACAGCAGATCTGGTTTGCGAAAATCCGGAGGATCAGTATGTGGAAGCAAAGAGAGATGAGTTTTATTTGCGGCCATTTAGTGATTTTTGCAGCCTGATACAAAACGATAAAGAGGATTTTCAGCATATCAGTACAGATGGTTTAGAATATTGTGTGGCAGAATTCATGTAAAATGTTAACGACATCAAATGCTGAATATCCTGTCATTATAATTAGGTGTGATGGGATGTTCACTGGCAACTCAGAGCTTTCCCAGGAGACACCCAAATCAAGAGAGTGTGCAATCCCGAGCTGGGTGGAGAAGAGGGGGAAGAGATTCAGGGTAGCCACACCCCAAAATCTCTCAGGATATATCTGGTACCTTAGAAAGTTACCAGTTTGGCAAGATTCTGTCAATTAGATGTAAGCAAATAAAGGATTGGATATGATTGGATGTCACTGTCCCATCACTGGGCTTGGGCTTGACAGTAGGAGAAGGAGTGGCACGACCATACTAATGGCATTGTTTGTGGGAATTTATCACCTGGCCAAGAATAATATTTCTTTAGCCTGCTTCATAGGTTCCTGCAAACTGATGTCCTCCAATATCCTATCCTGGAATTAGGGGTTCCTGGCTTAATATTCAAGAAATTAAAATCCAAAATAGTTGAAGGGCACTGTTGGGGAATACTGAGAGAAGGATACCCGATAATCACAAGATTAAATATACTAGGACAGGAGGGAAGGGGCAGTCATGCCACATGACAGTGTTCATCTTTCTAATTCTATTATCTCAGGCAATATTATTAATTAAAACAAATTGTAGCAGGAGTCAGAAGGCTCAAGGAAACCTTAAAAGTGACAATGTGTAGTTGTGTTTTGTTTCTGTAATTTTCTGTAATAATGTATTCGGCTGGCCTATTAAACTAGCTATAATTTAGCCAACAGGAGAATTTGATGAGTGATTTACAAAGGAATGTGCTATTTATCAGAGAAATATACCCTTTGCCCCCAAAGCAAATTCTGGACGGGTAGCCAATCAGTTGAAGAGGGCCATCTGAGCTGCCTCTTTCCTGGGCATGCTATTGCTTCAATGGCACATCAATGGCTTCTCTGATTAGGCATCCTTTCTACTTTTTGTCCTTGGTTCAGTGCTTTTATACAATGAGCTCTGGACAGACATTTGTATCTGGAGCACAAAAAGGATTAAAGCAGCGTCTCCTGACTGCAGTTCATTAAATTAGCCAACATCCATCCATAACTGTGCTTCCTCTTTTTTTTTTCATTCAGGATGTTTATATCTTGAAAATTAGAATAGTTGCTTCCCATCCCCTCACGGAATGAAATGTCCACTGCCTTTTATTCTTCAGTTGAATTTCCTAAGCTGAGAAGTAAAAAGTGTAACCTACAACACGGCTGCTATTTGAAATCATTCCCTGTATGCTTCAAATTGACTGGGAAGCCAATCATTTATTGGTTCCAACTGCAAAGCCCAGTGTTCCCTCCCCATTCTTGATTAGCCAATCAATTTTGACTCAACAAAACCTGAATTCTATATTCTCAGTTTCCACACATATTATTCCAAGAGCAATGATAGTTTTACTTTTTAGAAAGTAAGATATTTCTTGTAAATAGACATTCTCCTTTAAGATAAATGGCTAGTTAAGACATCATTCCAATGTTTTGCAAACTCTCTTATATCCTGAAACAAAAATGGGGTGGGGGGGTTACTATAAAAATGCAGATGAATTCATAATTGGACAATTAGTTCATCTCTGACCAGTCCCTGTAATGGTCTGTAATTCCAGAAAAATGTATGATCACAAATGAAGACTTAACAATTCCTAGCATTATTCATCAGTAGTTTGGCTCTTCTGATGCAAAACGACATTGTAATTGGGTTTCTACAATTTCAGGATGAAAATGAATGTTACGCATGTTCCACTATTATTTGCTGAGATGTAAGCATGACATACTTTTGTAATAAAGCTTTGAAATTATGGACAGATCAATTTTTTGAAAATGTGTTACAGGTAATCCTCGACTTACAACATAATTGACCCCAAAATTTCTGTTGTTAAGCAAGACATTTGTTAAATGAGTTTCGCCGGGACACTGCAACCATCATAAATATGAACTCGTTTACCAAGCATCCAAATTTTGATCACATGGGGATGCTGCAATGGTCATAAGTGTGGAAAACAATCATAAGTCACTTTTTTTCAATGCCATTGTAACTTTGAACGGTCACTAAATCAACTGTTGTAAGTCGAGGACCACCTGTATTTATTTTGTGAGGAAGTACAATTTATTTTAGAGACTACTTCCCGATTATACTAATTTTATAAAAGAAGAGTTAAAAGGGTCTTACTAAAAATATAAAGGGCCAGAAAACCAGCAAACATATTTAATGTGGTGCTAAAATGGAACTGATTAGAAAGACTGAGCTTTTCCCCCTCTATTGTTTTAAAATGTGCTAATGACTTGAAGTGCTATTGTACAAATAATTCAATTACCTAACTACCTACTTACCACTATCACCATCCCCAACCCTATATGTAACGAAAAAGACATTTAAGTCCAAATTTTAAGATTTTTTTAAAAACACTGATTCAATTCTATTCTAATGGGAAGAGTAATACCAAAGCTGTTGTGAAGTAGATGGACTTCATTGTAGTGATGTACAAATTCACCACCACTATTTGATAAGTTATTGCACACAGCAAAACTACATCTCTTGACAATGCAAGTTAATGTCAAACAAAAGATGAATAAGCAACACATGGCTATTGCAGAATGCAGATTGTCATCCTGGAGGACTTGTGATGTGTATTGTTACATTGGTAGAGCTGGGTGGGAAAATTCAAAAACTATGTGAAAAGAAAATTATCTCCAGAAGGATATTTTATTGGTGCTTATCTACATTGTATGATGCCCATTCTTTTATTGTACATTTCTTCTGCATTTTTAATGCAATCTACTAAAAAGGGATATTTTGGTTCACATCCTTTTTCATGTTACAATTCAATCTTCCCACTTTGCATCAAAAATATAGTATGAAGAAATTGTCACGTGCTAAATTGCTTCTCAAAACAGAGCTGTTAAAAGAATGTCTTTCTTGGTTTGGATAAACAGTGATAGCTCTCCATGATAGTCAAAGCAAGCTTAATTCCAAATATAAAGTCAAGAAACATAAAAAGGGATCTTTAAGATATTTTCTTCAGCATGCAGAATGATTTCTACAAGGAAGAAAGAGATATTCTTGAGATATTCATCCATATGTAAAAATACTGCAATGATCCAACATGATCTTTGTTTCCCAAAGGGTTCTATCTAAAACCATTAAACAAGTTTTGCTGTAAGCCTTAGATTTGGATGTAAAATCTATACATCCAAATCTAAGGCTATCAGATTTGGGATTCAAGGATCTGGTAAACCATGAGTTGGATAAAGTATTGAAAAATATTTTTATTGTTATCAATAATTATTAGCCTTATCAACTCTGTTTTTTCAAGAATGAGTGCTAGTTTGCACACTAAATTTGCATACCAACTTCTGACCCCAAATCAAGGCCAGTTGAATCAGATACTAAGGTTGAATATTAGGCTATTTCTCAGCCACCTAGAGAAGAACCTGCTTATTCGACTATACTGTGTATTGTTAATAGCAGTGTTTGCTATAAAGTAGTTTAAATTACTGACAATCGTTACAGTGATGAAGCCATATTTCTGATTTTTAGGAACATGACTCTAATTATATTTTGCTTAAAATCTCAAGGTTTAAATTTATCCATTCTTCCCATAATCAGCCAATTTTCAGAACTGAGAAAAAGCCTTTTTCAGAATTTCCCTTTTTCCCAGTCTCTCCCCCTTTTTATTGTTGTTATAGAATAGCTCTGATTAAGAGCCTTTGTTGAAAGAGAAAGCCAACAATGCCTGTCCATAGAATTAAATCTGCTTGTTTGCGAAATGGCCACTGTTGCTATTCATGCTGTTTGCAAATGTCACCCTAATGCCACTATAATCTACATCGCTGTTGTACTCATATCAAGTAGATGAATAAAGTTTTAAACTTTATTCTTACCCTATTGTTTGGATATTTGTTTTTCTTTATTCACTAGTGTTAATACAGTGAAAATGGGTTTGATTACGCCTGATGACAAAACTTGTCACAAACACACTGTTTGCAAAACAGAGGATATGTTGGGAACAATTTTTGACAAAATTTTACACATTTTGAAGATCTTGTGGTATTTTCTGAAACAACACTCAAAATAGGGTAAGCGTTTCCTTGGCCACAAACTTCTTAAATTATTGAATAATTAGTACTGTGATTAATAAATAACAGACACATGGTTTTGAGATCTCAACCTTAATTTCAGGGTAGCATTATTGCGTAGGCCAACAGTTCTCTTAATGTCCTAGAATTAACATAGCATGATTTGTAAGAGTTGTGCACAATTATAAAGTTTTTGCAAAGTTTATGGATTGAGAATGTAAAATTCATTAGTTGTCTACAGCCTCTCATTCAACGCAGAGGAGTGCAAGTTTGTAATTACTGTATTAATCGAAAGCTAAAATTAGAGCAGGATGTGGTTAGTAGAGTAAGTAGTAAACAACTGATAAGAGCTGTATCACAGCAAGTCACAACATATTATAGAGCTGCGGGAGAAGATAAACACACAAAATGGAGGAGATCAGGTTCAACAATAGAAAAGATTGAAATAAAACAATCTTAGAATAATTATTAAGTCAGCTGTATGATTGTAAAAAAAGACAAAAGAGACTGCATCAACAGCAGTTTGTCAAATCATTGAAAAATTCTATTCTGCACTGGATAGATCCAATGTCAATTATTGTGTCCATTCTGGGTAGACTGGTTTAATTAACTCAGAAAAGACAACAAGGAAAGTAAAAGGTCCTATGAAAACAATTGATGGTATTGGCAATATTTTGGATAGAAAACAGCACTCTTCAAGTATCTGGTAGTCACATGACAGGCATAATCTGTTCTATCCAAAGCTCAGAAAAATAAATGTATGTGATAGAAGACACATTTTTATTATGTAATAGAATTCTTAAAAAAGTGTTTTGAAATTTTTTAAGACATATCCCTTTCACCACATTCAACAATCCTACTATTTATCTTAGTGTTACTTTGATCTGCATTTTAAAGTTTCTATTTTTCTGTTTTTGTCCTTTAAACACATTTAGCTGCCTTACTTATTCCCCAAAATTGAAAGATGTGATGTAAATCAAATAAAAATGAATAAGCCAACCACTGCACCAGCTGAAAGCAATCACATTCATAATAGGCAGATATCTAGCTGAGAATTTTACAATCTTTATCCTGGTCAACAGACCTTTTTTTGGTTGTTTAATGAACAGATATTGGAATGTATCAGTCGCTATCTATATATATATATATATGAAAGTGTCAGGCCAAAAGCCAAATTTATTTCATATTTGAGAAGCCAAGATGTGACATTGGTCATTTAGCCAGCCAACTTGATGTTTGCTATGCACATTGACCTTAGCAAATGATTCATCATCATTATTCTTCATACTTAAAGCCTTTTCTTCTCAGATAATGAAAAAAAATAAGTTCCAAATTTTAGAAGTCTGGCTTTCTTTCCTACTTCCTGATACAGAAATAATGTGAGTTTCTGACCTCTGAGTAATGATTGAGGAATGTATTACATCTCCCAACACAGCAGGGCAGCTGGTAAAGTGAATCTTCGCAGCATGTTAAAAATACAGATAATGATGCCAAAATCCAGATCTGATTGAAACATAGTCAAATGTCAACACTAATTTGCTGCTAAATACATATGGTTCCCTGGGATTACTTTAAGTACAGAGTTATGCGCTATGCTTTTTTTCTTTACCAACACAGCAAACTTCCCCCTCCCCTCATTTTTCCCCTCCCTCTCCATTTCATATTTAGTTTCCTTTGCTTGAGCTTCTATAAGGCTCTATAAGTTCAAAGTTTTCTGTGGTGGAAGGGCCTCAGGAACATGTACAGACTGTTCCGGGGCTTGAATGAAGAAGAAAAAGTCATTGTTCCAGGTCACGCCCCTTCCATAGCTGTCCTTTTATGGATTGTGCCTTTTATACTTACAGCCCCAGAGAGTCTAGAACAATCCATAGTTTTGATGAAGCTCTGAGCTGCTGTTTCTTTTAACAGATCAGTGAGATCAGGACTCTAGGAATCTCTAAAAATGCATCATTGTGAGATATACAACTGTGAATGTAAGAAAAATGTCAACAACAGCTATGGAATGAATATGAAAATAAGTAAATTGTACAATATCTTTCTTTTGCAACTAAAAACCCACTTTGAGAAAAGTAGCATTTTGTTTAAGGGATTATGGACTGGTGCTACCAAAGCGATGCTCCTGTGCTCAGAAATCTTTTTTTTCCTTTAAAGCCAAAGTGCTGCACAGCCTTACTGCTTGCTGAAGATGTTATGCAAATAATTAGGAAATGAATATTTCAAATGCATGCAGTGAACATCACAAAAACTATGCATTTCTTTAAAACAACCATGTGCAATGTTTTGGTGTCTAATGGCTACATATCAAGCCTAAACTACAAACAATTTTTTTTTAGAGATAATTTAAATTCAATGAGTCCAGTCCAGTGGCAGCACCTTAATAACCTTAATTGTCTCCAAAACTTCTTAAGGAAAATTGGACCAGTTCAATTCTTGGATGGGGTGAATAGAAAATCCCAGGGTTGTTGACAAGGCAATGGACTTTTTTAAAACTTTGTTGTTGCCAAGGAACTCATATGGGCATGTTCATGTATCAAAATTTATCAAAATATGAGATTGGCTTGAGGGAATCTTTGTTTTCAGTGCAGTTTTGTACAGTTGCTTATAAATATTCCCATTAAGTTCATTCCTATCAGGCAAATAAATAAAAAAATGAGAGACTTCTGAAGAACTGCTCCGGAATACCCTCTTGCTAATTTCCACCAGAACTTTTCTTGCACTTCTT